AGGAAGTGGTGAATCAGGAACTCAGTGCAGTCCCAGACATTGGAATTGAAGGAAGTGACTGTTTTGTGAATCACAATTAGGCTGTGTGTTTTCTGCGGTAAAATAAACACACGCGAATGGCAAATGCAAAGAAAGAAAAAAAGTATTATGTTTCAATACTCCGAGATTTCAGCAGTGAATGTCTCTTTGAGAGCATTGTCTTTTTATTTTTTTCACGGAAGGCCTAATGACACTTTTATGGTAAATTGACATGTTCTCTGACTAACAACTTAAAATAGTGACCAATACTCATTTTTAAGACGGGTAACCTTTACACGCAATAATACAACCCTCATTATTCTGTGATGCGTTGTGCCAATGTCTACCCCTCTCTATTTTTTCTCCATCTAATCTTATTGACTTAGGTTGCTTATCTATTTCACTTCTTCTCCTCTTTCTATTTGATGTACCCCTGTATCTATCCTTCTTTTCCTCTCCATAGCTACTACTGTTTCTTCCTTGTATGTTCCTCCATAGTCCTGTGATCGTACGTTATGTTTCTTCGTTTTATATTTGTATATCAATCTCTCTCTATCCCTTCCCACTGCCTACTTATGTCGATCAATCTTGCAATGATTTTTTTTTTGGTGTTTGTGTTGAACACTCAAAATAAATAAACATACGTGTAACGTGTGACAGGCGTAATGTGGAGATCACTCATTGAGTTCATTATCTCTCTCTCTCTCTCTCTCTGTCTTTCTCCCCTCCCCCATCCCTCTCCCCTTCCGTGATAAATCTCGTAATATTGATTGTTTTATCTACGCGTTTTGTGTTTATTATAGACATAACGCGTGAAATACCAACAATAAGTTCATCATTGGCGTCCCTCACTCTCCCTCCTCCCTAACCCCCCTCCCCCTTGATTGATTCGTAATATTTATATAACGTTTTACGCTGATTATAAACATAACGCATTACAGACCTACATGAGGAGATAATTCCTTGAGCCTTATTTCTGCCTGCCCACCCCACCACCCCCCCCCCTCTTTTTGTTCTCCCCGTCTCCCTCCATCTCGCTCTCCCCGATAAATGCCTTAATATCCATTTCTCTATCAATGTGTTGATTATTCATATACAAATAATACACAGCAGTGAGTGCATTGGTAAGAAATACCCACACAAGGTACCTTTGGAACAGTCTAACACGCCAGATGCGATAGCCGAGGGTGTTTGGACTGTTTTGAAGGTACCGAGTGGGGTTAATTTTACTACTGGCCGAACAAACTGATGTGTATTATTTGTTACATAAGATGATTTTTTATTTGTATTATAAAATGATGTTTTATAACATAATTTTGATAATGACCGGTCATTTGCAATTGATAATGACCGGTCATTATACAAATTACGTGTTAGGCAAAATAAATGCCTGGTCACGTGAACGCTCTCAACCAATCATGTGATTAGGATCCGCTCCATCATCTTATAAAGACATAACGCGTGACAGGCCTACATGAGGAGATCATTCATCGAGTTCATCACAACCTCTAACAGCATGCTGATTCATTGTTATCTGTTTATCCCATTGTGGTCGTTGGGTAGCGTTGTTATTGTTGTCGTCAACGAAATCCTAGTTGATTGTTCCTTCCTGGAATGCGTCGCGTGGTCGAAGTGATAACTTACTGACCTCTAAAATGTTACAAGCATTATTAATGACATATTACATAACCTAAACATGATTTCTATAGAATATACAAATGGGTATTGAAATTACCCTTGAGTCGTGTAAGGAGTGAAAAGGTTTCTAACATAAATGTTATCGGCTTACCTATATCAAGCTGCAGTCAAATATCGTATCTAACATCAGTTCCTATCATAAAGTTAAGTTATAACTGTATTTCAATAATATTTTTTATCAGTAAAACAAAGATAAAGGGGGATAAAAAGTTGTAGATTTTGCCATTATTTATCATAAAGTTTTGTCTTTCTTTCTTGAAAAAATAAAACGTTTTCAGGCAACTAGATTATTGTCTAGTGCATCACAATGCGGCTGAATATATCATTTTTGGAAAGTAAGTAGTTCATAGATAGTAAGTGATGATGATAAGGGGAAACTGAATTACATAATAATTGACCACATAATATTTTTGCTTTGTTTGAACAAAACAAATGATATTGCACTTTCAAGTTGTGAAATCAGAACTTAATACGTTCTCCGATTTCATTACAGCTCACGCGAAGGGATGTTATTCCGTTTGGTATTTCCTGCCACAGGGATTTTTAAAGATCCCACTGAGTCGTCAATAGGATACATTATTGGACCAATTGGGAGGAAATATTAATCAGATTGAGTGTCCAAAAAACAGCTGTTTGCGGGAAACTCACTTCCGAGAAAGCAAAGTAAAAGAAACAAACCATTTTTTAGTACTTCTTTGTTTGGATTCCAATTTCGTCGGTTACGGATTGAATCTTTTGTATTATTTATTTTCTTTCATTCTCCGATACCCGCCAATTTCTGAAATAGCGATATAGAGAAACTTGGGAATAAAACGGTCCGGGGTTCCAATATCTGACACCTTTGATAGCGATTTTCACTTTATTTATATAATAAACTCGACTTTATATCATAGTTGAGTTTCTTTTCAATTTGGTGTTGCTATTTATGTATATTTTGTTATTATATTATAACTGCATTCCACTTGTTCTTGTTATTTGTTTCTTCATCTGTTTGTTTTCTTTATTATTTCGTATATAACCTAATGGTATGGGGTCATGGGGGAGGCGTGGGACAACGTCCTCCTCGGTGAAAGATATAATGGACATTGGTAATCGGAATTTCATTTTTCGTTTCCCTAACGGTTTCTATAACACTACAGTCTATTGGAGGAAATGAGTATGGTAAAACCGGTCACTCAAAGATTTTTACTTTTTTGAGGCACTTCATGATCATTTTGAAGCGCAATTTGTTTAAGTATTCAATATTACACCATAATCACAGACACTGATAACACGAAGGGCTATGCATCTCATATTTAACATTGTTAAACGATGCCTTTAAGTTTCATTCACGTTGTTTGTTCTTACGCCACTGAATCGACATGCTCCTTTTGACTTTAGAGAGGATTTATTTTTGTTCGGATTTCAGGATGACCCCATAAAAGCGATGAATCATGAAGATAAAAGGGCATCTATAAATCAGATTTCCTCTAAATAATTATTAGTAATATCTCAAGAAAAAGCAAGTGTTAAAACTCTTCTTTAAAGTGTAAGTACGATGTTGATGTCCCTCTAGTATTTACAGTATACTACTTTGAACACGGGGGGGGGGATGAAACACAATTCTGACAAATGATCTGACGAGCCCGGTGGCGGGGAGAAAGATCGTCTTCGCATTTTCAGCTTCCTATCGGGTCGACAATTGGAAAGGGGACACATTTGGGGTGTATTTTAAGGTATCCAATTTTTCTTTAAAACACGGGTCGGGGCCGTTTTTCTCTCTCCTAAAGCTGATGTACTCTTCTCTTTGAGAAAGGGTAGTGAAACTGTTCTTGGCAATGTACAAGAACTCTTACAGAATTCTGTTTCGAAAAGATATACTTTAAATAAGCCTGTATTTCCATTAATTTGCCACTTTCTCTTACAATGCACATGCCGTTTTTTTCTTCGAAGAGAATAATCCTATCTGAGTTTTGATATTCACTTTGATCTACCCTCACGTAAGACCAAATCGAATTATGAACATTTGAGGGTAATTGTTTTTCCCTCTGATGTCGGGAATACATCGTCATACTTTCACATGAAACAGGTTAGAGCAGAATATAACATTATTAAACACGAGCGGAAGTAAGCAATAGGCAAGTGTCAGTCTAAAGCCACAATGGCAGGCTATAATTGTCGGTACGAAGAAGGTAAACAAAATGCTGAGAATATAAATGTAGCTTTCCATGACGGTAATCAAGTCACACCACGATGATACTGAACCACAGTTTGACACTTTGATGCCTACAAACAAGCGTGGGTATAAATAATTTATCAACATTTTTTTTTACACAAACCTCATTCCCTCTCTATTTTATATATATATATATATATATATATATATATATATATATATATCTCTTTCTTTCCTTCTTAAATAAGTATAAGCGCCTCAAGTTTCATATTCATAACGCTTGTTTCATTATAATTGTCCGGTACAAATAAGTAATACAACATTTCCATGATCAAGTAAAATGTTCTCATATCTCTCTATTTCAAATCTACCAATCTATATATTTTTTTTCCCTTTTTACTTTGTTCGATTTTAATCCTTCCATAATGATATCACCCGTTTTACCAGGTAATTATATTAAATCCACTCTTGCGGCCTCACTGTCTGAATTCTATATAATTAATTTTATTATGGTAGGTCACTAATGAAATTTTACGGTTGTCCATCAACTTACTATTGAATTTGGGATCACTTGATTTAATTATTAGAACTACATTGACTTTGGAAGTCGGCATGTGCAGGTGTGTGGTATGTACCCTATGCAATCACCCATCTTCTATGTTGCTTTCTTGGTCGTATATCTGTTTGTTAGGTTTAATAAAATAATACAGAAAATGTATTATGATAAACAAAATGAAAATTAATTCAATTTCATAATAATTACCATAATGAGTACCCCAGACACACCCATTATTTCAGAAAACGGAGAATCCATTTTGCATGGGCTGGCATTCTGACCATTCGCCCCCCCCCCCCCCCCCGGGGCCCCTCCGTATATCTATAGTAAGATATACGATTCAAATTTACATCCTGTAACCCGGGCCTGTAACTCCTAATTTGCGTTAGTTTGCGTTATTACCCGCGCTATTCAATCCCGTGAAGACATTGCACCCATGCGTTGGGAATATTACAAATCGATTTTCGTAAATGAAATATCACGCTCATCTCACGTGGTGCGTCAAAGTTTCTGACGCAATCAAACGTCAAGCAAATGACGCAATGGGCATTATGATTTAATGTGAGGGCTTACCTGGCAGCGCTGAGCCTACTCGATCCACCAGCCTTTGCATATTCTCATACAGCATGGCCACGTCCTGCTGGATCCTCTTCAGCTCCACCTGGAGCTCATTGGTGGAGCAATTGATAGTGGGAGCCACGTAGACATTCGGGGAGCAAGTGGCTCCACCGTACGACGTCGGATTGGCGTTCGCGGTCGTACCCGACGCCCGGCCCGCACCGGTGTACGTGTTGTAGCTACCGCTGGCGAACGGATTCGCGTTGGGACGACCATTGCCCACCGTGTAGCAGAAAACGCTGGTAAGCTGGATTATGAATAGGGTTAGATAACTGATGAGATGGTGATGGTGTTCCGATGACACTCGAAGATTGCTGAAAGTTCTCATCTTGATTTCGGGAACGTTCAGATTCTCTGACTATATAAAAGCGATCAAATCGAAACAAACCAGCTGAAACCCGGGCCTGTCACTTGAATGTAATCCTTTATGAGGTCACAATTAGTAATGGCGAGTACTCCACTGTAATTTATTTTGTTAACGATGACAATGTTGCAGTATCGACATAAGTAGATACAAATGATACCAGCAGATTCACAATATGCCCTTATAAGTATCCTCTATTACATGCATTAAACACTTGTGAACAGTTGAGCATATTTCCTGAAATCAATGAAGCATTACGAAGCAATCTGTGACCTAGATTTTTTTCTTCAAGATGACGTCGAGGATATTTGATATCGTTTAAATGAGAAATCAATTAAAATACAATCTAACATGTCTTTCCCACCAGAAAGGCTTTTAATTCAATACTCAAGTTCACAATTATGACTTGGCATCAGATCCTTTTCAATATTTTTTTCTTTTCTTTCAACAAAAGGAAAAAAGAGTAATTTTCTTTTCACAGATGAGACGGTTATGCAGACGATTGTCGATTTGGCGCGAAAATTGCGCGGATGATGATAATTTGGAAGATTTCGATGATATCGTGCCAACAAAAAACAAATCAGAAGGTAAGCCTTACTCTACCTGGTAGTATTCAAATATCGGAGTTATAACCGGGACTTTGTGAGTCGAGTCTTGTTCTAAATTTAGAAGCAAACGTCTTTTGTGCTGGGATCTGCGCGAATATCATGAACACTCGAAAAGAAAGATCGATGCCAGCTCTGTGAACATTGTTTGATTCGTTGAAGTAACACCGCTTTATCCAGGGCAAAGCAAGAGCATCAACCGAAAACCGAAATGAGTTATGATCCAGAGAATCGTTTAGTTGCAACAAGCAATGAAACACCGTGAATTCCCGGCGGGAGAAAGAAACAATCGGCAATGACTTCAGTGAAACTGATTTCTGCAAACATTCATCAAACTAATCATCTATAACTTTACTCCTAATACGAACAGTCCCGTACAGCTCGAGTTATCCATTCATATCCAAAGTCCTTTCCATTTCCCGGTAACGCTGGACACTGCTAGGCATCACAAGTTCAAGCTGACATTTATATGATCCGAGAGGGAAAATATGGTAACTCGATTTCCCCCGAGCCCGCCGGGTTTTGCGTGTTAACATAATAAAAGAGGCGATGACTCGTTTGACATAACTGGAAGTTCGCTGCTACGTGTTGCGGTTGGGTCAAACCAGTGAGCGGCTATGTGGGCCGTGTACATGGCTAGTCTTGACAGGAAGCAGCGTACTGTGTGACGACTCCCTTGTGACTATGTTGTCCGAATACAATAACTGAGTCAGATTTCTAGGTTACCAAACGTTGAGGAGGAAATTTCCGACGCCCCCTTCCCGAAAATTTGAAAATTGAATAAAAGCAAGAATGGTTATCTAAAAACAGTGTGTTTGTAAATCTTTTCCACCGTCCGTACTACATGTTAGGTTATTACGGTCTTTAAAAATATGTTCATATTTGTTCATAATGACATGTAAAGATGTGGGCCCAAACTCGTCGGGGGGGGGCGCAATGTTTGTAAACCGCAAACCGAAAGGCCATCCAGCTTCCCAGGACCCGCTCAGCGAGACGGGGACGTGTAAGTGCATTTCCGAGAGGTATATCATATCAATTCATTAAATAAATAAACAGTTTTGGATTTCAAGCAAATAATACAGGGATAGAAAATACAGGGGAAAAATAAAACAAGTACAGATTCCTAAACAAAACTAAATTACAAATTACCAGTAAATAGTCCGATAAATAGAAACAAAACAAAACAAATAACTACAGAGCGAAAAAAAGACTAGGGAAAGCAAATATAGGCCACAAAACAAACTGTAGTTCTTTAAATGTACCCTTTTAAAATATATGTTTTACGTATGATATCAATACTTCTAAAAGAGGTTTGGAAAAACTTGTTATCGTAATAAAATTATAAATACAACCCCCCCCCCTCCCCCCCCCCCCAAAAAAAAGAAGATAACAATAAACATTTATAAATAAATTTAAATTAAATTGAATTAAATTAAGGGGGTGGGGCTGGGCAGAAGACAGAAACGGGTACAGAGACAGAGAGCGAGGGGATGAGAGAGAGGCAAGAGAGAGACAGAGGGGGTGGGGAATAGACAGATTGAAACAAATCACTGACAAGAAACCTAAATTAGGATTAAAAATAAGAGATGGCGCTACATCATGTTAGAGCAGAAACGTCATGAAGTGACGGCTGAATATAATACACTCAACTGAGACAATGTGTGTGCACGTGGGAGAAAAAGGCAGGAGCCTCTTTGACTGGAACAGAAAATCAGTGTTCTACGATCGAATACAAGGTTTATATCAAACGAAATTTCTAAGAAATCGAAGCGATAGGGAGAGAGAGAATTCATTTCATTTTATTTAATTTCTGCATTTTTCCAAAAAAATAACTGAATAACAAAGATCATATTAACGTAAGGTATAATACAAAATATACAAACAATAATGACTTCATGTCAACATATTATTCACATTTGATATAGGCTACATATAATAACGAAATTAATATTTATATAACATGTTATTACAAATTTAAGGTATTGTCCGAACTATCTGTGAAAAAAGTGCAGGAGACACCAATCATATGCGATGCTTGACTAGGATGGCGGCCTCAAAAGAAAAATGTAACGGTTAAATTTAAAATGAAAATGTGTTTATATGATCTTTGTGTATGAATTCGCGAGTGTATTGTGTGTAGCGAAGGGTGGATGTCCACGTAGCTCTGTGTTGTATGGTGTAGTGGAAACAAATGATTTTGTCTTGTTTTGCCTTTTTGTTTCTATGTGTCTGATTATTTATTGTTAATTTGTCATTTTGGTTTGTTCGTGAATCTGTACATGATTTTCTCCCCTTTATTCTATCACTGTATCATGCAGGCGCGGATCCAGGATTTCTTAGGGGAGGGGGCCCAACTTTTTTTTTTTTTGCTCCCGAAAATTTGAAAAACGCGCCGGTGGGGGGGGGGGGGGGGGGGGGGGGGGGTAGTGAGCACATTTTTTTTTTTTTTGATCCTCAAAAAAATTTCAATTTGCACCCCCCCCCCCCCCTTGAGCGCCAGGGGGGGGGGGGGGCCCAACCCCCAAAAAAGGTAAAAATCACGTGATTTTACATGATTTTTTTCTCAAGGGGGGGGGGGGGGGTCCGGGCCCCCCGGGCCCCCCTGGATCCGTCACTGGTATCATGTGCTTGAGAGAGAGAAGGGAGATAGAACTAGAGAGAGGGAGAGAGAGAGAGAGAGAGAGAGAGAAAGAGAGAGAGAGAGAGAGAGAGAGAGAGTTGGGGACAAAGAGGGGACATATAGAGAGAAAAAAGAGCGATAGAAAAACAAAAGCAACGAATCGTAGACACACGACCGTGTGGTATGGATTCCTTTTTATCTATGCACCCATCTATTTCTAGCACTCAAATTAATATCTTCGTATTCCATAAAAGCTTCGGATGACACCAAAATGACTGATCTTTGCAATTTCACTCTTCTCCATGACTTATACTTTACCATTGACGCTCTTTTTCAAACCATCGTCTACTGATTTTATCATTCTCATCAGGCTAATAAATGTACACCTGGGCATCATTCCACGAAACCATCATAAATACAAGTTGAGGGACATCCCATTGAAGCGCATGTTTTTAATTACAATTTACGCGTTTTAATGGGATGTCGGTGAATTTGTACTTATACTTAAAATGGTATCGTAAAACGGTGCCCTAGCCCGTCGGCGATGGATTGAAACGTGGTTTGACATGTGTGCATTAATGTCAGATGTAATTTAACACATGCACTATCCATTTGTTGATACTATGTTGTCGTTTATTTGTAATGCGAAAGGAGAATGAAATAAAAACGAAAAAACAAACAGAAAAAGTGGGACATTCGATCGCGAAGCGACGAGAGTGATGAAATATTTGACATTTAATTATAGTAACAATGTAATTTCGTCATGAACATGTACTACAAAGGTATAATATATAAGATAAAAGATAAACCGCTTCACCGCTTGAATATAAAGTGGCGGTTGCATGAATATTGGCAATTTTAAAATAGGGGCGGGGGCTGCAGACCCCAGAGCCAGTTTCGTACGCTTGTGCATAGAGTTATTCTGCTAGAGAGCCCATTCTATACCGAGTTTTTTAAATCCCAGGGGGGGTCAGATTTTTTGGAAAATGTTCTTGAGAGTACGCAACATAGGGGTCATTTTCGACTCCGCTATTATCCTGATTATCACGCGTCACCCCTTTGACTATGAAATGACATCTCTGAGTGACTAAGCTAAGACTAATTGTTATTAACAGAGTCTGAGTGACCCCGTATCAGAAGCGGTTCTAGAGGGGCCAGGCCGGAAGAAGGGGGAGGAGGGGGGGGGGGGAGGCTTAAGCCTCTTCCACTCACAATTTCTTCAATCACCTAGAAAGTTTGACTCGATTATTTATGCAATAAAGCGAGGCATTTTTATGAAGAAAATGAATGCACGAACCCTCAAGCCCCCACCCCCCCCCCCTCCCCCTCTTATGGTTCTTCTAGAACCGCACCTGCTTCGGATTGTCAACTTCCCTCTGATCTGAAAATTGTTTATTTGCTAAGTGGCCTACATGTTCATTTCGGAGTGAACCCAAATTATTTCTCGAGACGATGAGATAAAGTGTTCATTATGAACGCTTGATCTCATCGTCTCGAGGTTCATAGCTGCGAAAGAAATAATACGGGTTCACTCCGAATGAACATGTCGGCCACTTAGCAAATGAAACAATTTTTAGATCAGAGGGAAGTTGAGAATACGAAGCAGGATAATCTTGAACTTCTGGGTGTTTGGGCCGTCGAGGATCGTGAATTGCTCTCAGTTACAGGTAACTTTATTTACATTTGCGATAAAGATTTATACATTTTTTGTTTTGCTTCTTTCGTTGCCTAGTTATTTATTTTTTTTGTACAATTTGTATCGCTATTTTAGTCAATTCACCTCTTAATATACCCTACGGTTACTAAGTAAATTCTAAAAACATGACTACAAATATTTGGAGAGGAAATGATCTTACAAAGGAACATACTTGTATTGAAAAGAGGCTTCCTAAATGTGTGCTAAACAACAGATAAAACATGTACACTGAATTAATGACTTCCCCAGGCCTATTCATAGGGAACAATACATCTTGGCCTGAAAAGAAAACATCTAACCTTAACATCTTCACCTGACCTTAACAAAGAACACTCCAGACCAAAGAGCGAAACAAATAAATCTATTTCCTGACAGAGGCCAATAGCTCAGTCGGTAGAGCAGTGGTCTTGTAATCCGGCAACCCGGGTTCAAAACCAAGGCGATGCGCTAGTGTCCTTTGGTAAGGCATTAATCCTCATATACCAGGTTCCTCGGAGATGGCCTAAAGCCGTCGGTCGTCTGGTTGCTTACTTACAAGCATTTATGCTTTCTTAGCAGTCAGGTAACTAACCATCACCATTCATTAGACAAACCTCGCCCCGGAGGTGCTGGGTCGAGGTCCTTGGTCTTTTGCTCTACTCTTTATTTCATCCCCGCCCCCCCCCCCCCACTCAGTGTTATTTAGGGTACGCATATGCTCGTACCCTCTTTTTGAAAGCACCCCCTATCTGAGGACTGCCAACATTTCCGAACCCCCCTTTCGCGGGCTTTTCGCGGGCTTTTCCTGCCTTGGAGACCCCCCTAAATCAGGAAAAATGCTCAATGCCCCCCCCCCCTTAATTTGGAATAATTTCTCAGGAGTCCAAAGAGATGAGAGAGAAAAAGAAAAACACCCCCTTTTTAAAGAAATCTCCGTGTGAAAAGTCAAATACACCCCTTTTTTTACAAATCTCGGGCCGGACTTTGTCGCACGAAAAATACCCCTTTACCGGACATTTTGGCAAACACGCATGCGGTCATTCCGACCTCTGAGTGGGGGGGGGGGGGGGGGCGGGATTTCATCTAGAATGTAGAGTTAGTGTGATAGGATTGCAGTTGGGTTATAGGATTAGGATCAGGGATAGGTACAGTCCAGATCATGTCCGTTTGTATATATTCTTTTATTCACACGCATCCAGCACACAGCGCGGTGTCTCCACTCATCGCGTGAGCACCCGAAACATCCGTCTATATCGGGGTACAGAATGAGAGGCGAGGTCTAATGTCACCGGTTCAGAGTTGAGGGCGCACAACACGGAAACAGTCCAAGCTGTGGACGGGGTTAGGTGTAGTGTTGTGTGGAGTTAGGAATTAGGTTAGCGTATGGAGTTACCGCGGAGCAATTGACGCAGGGGCAAGTGTCTTACAACCATCCTCAGAGTATCTCAGGGCAACTACCTACGGACAACTTACCTCAACCAATCTCCTCTAAGGACAGTCACATAGGACAACAGCCCCAGAGAACTTCCTCCTTACGAATTACCATACTACCCTCAGACACTACCAAAGGGAAAATTCAAATTCATAATGAGATACAAAATCAAAACAATTTTCGGTTCGAGTACATAAATACATAAAACTAATAAAATTACATATTTTGATGATAAACAGCACATACTGATAAAAATGTTATAAAGACATTTTTTTAAAGCAGATGTTTCTGCATTAATTGATAAACCTAATACAAAACACTAAAATAACAAAAATAGTGTATAATATAATTGATTTACATAAAGAGTGACAAATGAAATACACGCACATAACAATGCATTATTGTATATATAATTAAAAACTTGAAAGTATGAAGGTCAGTCAAGGAATCAGGATAAATGCAGAGGCCAACTATCATGAGCAGGATTGCTTGAGTCGATAGCAGCCGCCGGGAAGGGGAGGGGGTGTACATGACGCTGTTATAGGAGTATGTAGGAGAATAGAGTGTCACATATAAAGATTTTTGTTCGGAAAGTATCTTAATGATTTTTGGAGAAAAAAATAGAAATATTCCTTTTTTTGCAAGTGTGTGCAAGTGGGTGTGCGCAGGTGATGTAAGTGTTCGATTTGTTTTGTTCATGAACTGGTCATCTAAAATTAATTTATATAAACAATCAATTAAAATTGTTAAGACCCTTATAATGTTTGTGAATATTTGGATATTAAATATTTGTTTCATGATTATTACGCTATCGATATCATGTTAGAATAATATTTCCAAGAGTGTTGCAATGAAAAAATCCACTTAATATAGTAGTGTCTTAAAACAGTAACATACAAACATGGTAAATATATACAATGGTAATTGATATAGTTACTTATACTTAACATTTCAATTCTAATACAAATGAAAATTTTCCTTCAGGGAACATTACGCTTTGTTCTAACATGACATAGTACTTGTACATAACATTGAGTTGCGTAATTATCACAGAATGCACAAATTGTAAAACATAACGTTGATAAATTTGAAAAACATAAATGCCAGACAAATAATGTTCCCCCAAAACCCATGTCTGCGGACTGCATTTATAATGTTTATGGTTATCATATATAGGTAAATTGACCAATAAAATAGTATGCTTTACACTTTTGTATTTCATGACAAAAAGACGGTGGGTACAAGCCTTTGTTAGACAGACATTTCTCAACCCATTTGTAATTGACGCAATTTACAATGGACGGCCATCCATATCACCCGTCATGACGCGCGGTCTGGCGTAGATGGCTCTCCATATTCGATTGCGTCGCCTGTAGAATAGTCTTTACGCCTCGAATGTTTCCGTTGCGTTGGTTCGTGTATCCCTCTTATCGGACGTACCTCCTTCTCCGTCACCAGCAAAGAGTGAATGGATTCCACGACTTCCCCGGATGCTGTTTCTCATAAACAGATCCTTGAGAGCTTTCCTAAATTTAGGCATCCTGGCGCCGTAGATGAAAGGGTTCACGCAGGAATTCGCGAAGCAAAGGATGAGAAAACATGGGGAGAGAAGATCGTAGAAATGGGTGAACTGGAAATCGCCAAAGTTGAAGACGAGAAAGTCAACCCAAAAAGGTGTGTGGCAGATGATGAAAGCGATGACAACGATGAGGAGCGTTTGGAGGACACGACCCTTAATAACCTGGCGGAATGATGTAGCTTGACGTTGCCGAAGGATGTAGATGGTCCAAGCGTGCGCTGTCACCATGACGACGACAGGTAGATAATACTCAAGAATGAATAAACAAACATCAAGGAATCGGTGAAAGGCCTTAGGCAAGAAGACTGTGCATGCACCGTCTGTCTGTCACAACGTAGGCGTAGAGACTGTCGATTTTGATGATAAATGCTGCGATCTAGATGACAATGACAGCGATCGAGGTGCGCTTTGGAGAGAAGAGACGATGGAACCAGATTGGAAATCGTACAACCACCAACCTCTCGACCGATATGGTTGTCAGGGTGAAGATGGATGCGCAAATGGATATCCACATCAAGACAGATGTATGGATAATCCGACAGTAGAGCTCGCCTCCAACGGTGTCCGAAAGTTGGATGACTTGACGATGTGGTATGAAGAAGATGGATGTCAAGAAATCGGCCATGGCTAAAGCACCAATCAAGATGTCAGTGGCACAGCGTCGACGTCCTGGCCAAAAGATGACGAGCATCATCAGTAAGTTTCCTAGGATACCGATGATGGCTAAGACCAACTGGACGACCACCCACCACTCCCACGAAACAGGTGCCCACACCCAGGCATCACTCCTTGAGATGTTCTGCCAATCGCCAATCATCGTCGTAAATGGTCGTTATCTCACTCGTGTGATGAGCCACGGTTGAAGAGGATTCGGTCTTGAAGATCAATGCTTTCGACTTCAGCAATCACACGATCCGTCCGAGCTGCGAGGGGAAAAATAATCAGCAAATACTCAAGTCACTCATTTAACTGTTATACTAACACTACTATAATACTACTACTACTTAATTCTTAGTACTTGGTACAAAAGGTGCACAATTCTAGTTTAATTTTCTACGTAGTGAATTTCTGTTGTATTTTCTTCAACGCATATGGAATTATAGAATAATGGAAAAATGAACGCTTTAGTTTGTTTTTTTACCTTTAAGACTGGTTGTAATTGATAGTAAATAAAGTGAATTCTGGACCGCTAAAAGACGACAAAACTCTCGACGTTGTTTGTTTACATGTAAATGAATTGTAACTGTGCGCTACAATGGACTGGCACACATTCACTGAGCTCTGTGTTATAATAATAATATTACATTTATAGAGCGCAGAAACTATCCAACATTAAGTATATGAGAAAGAGAAACGTGATACGTGAAGCGTATTACATTCTACGTCATCACACAATTTTTTTTTTAAAACGCCGCAGTTTGGCAGCGTCATATTCGATATCGAAATTTCGATACATTTTTCGGGTAACCTGGGAAATGTGTGCAATTATGTGCAGACAAATGTAGACCTAAAACTCACCATATAATGAACAGTTGGACAGTATAATTTGGTATGCTCTCGGGAATCGGTACCCCTCTGAACTAATCCAATTTTGCTCGAAACCAAACTGATTTGTGACCGCACATTGTAAGAGATCGAAACGCCGTCACGCATTCATTAGACAAAAACAATAGGTTAATATTGTAGATCGTCGAAACGCATTGATGTCAGTATATGTCAAATTTGTTTTTGATTTCCATTGTAAAATTACGAATGTCTTTTTTTTTTATCCACAGAGGGATCCGAAGAGGCAAAATTGACAAAGACAATAATCATGAAACCAAAATTAGTCACGAATGCAGCCAAACCGATGATATGACTGGCAATACTACTAGATATATATGCGTATATATCTCAATCATCCCACTCTCTCTGTCTCTGTCTTTCCTGTTCATGTTCTCAGTCTGTCTGTCTGTCTTTGTATGTGTGTGTGTGTGTGTGTGTGCGTGTGTGTGTATGTGTGCGTGTGTGTGTCTCTCTCTCTCTCCCTCCCCTCTCTCTCTCTCTCTCCTTCCCCCTTTCTCTCTCTCTCTCTCTCTCTCTTCCTCTTTCTCTCTCTCTCTCCTCCCCTCTCTCTCTTTCTCTCTCTCCCTCTCTCTCTCCCTCCCCTCTCTCTCTCCTTCTCTCACTATCTCCTTCCCTCCCATCTCTCTCTCCCTCCCTCTCTCTCTCTCTCTCACCTTCCCTCCCCTCTCTCTCTCCCTCCCTCCTTATCTCTCTTTCTCTCTCTCCTTCCCCCTCTCTCTCTATCCCTCTGTCTCTCTCTCTCTCTCTCTCTCTTACAACTGAACCACCAGCATGTTTTACGCTCTCAGATGGCAGATCAGAGTACACCTAAAATCTACTATTACATCTCAAGTTTAAAGTGACTATTAAATGAACACAAGCCTAAATGAAATCAATGCCTCATTTAATTTCAATCGGGAGACGCCCACCTTCAGTACACTACCTACGGACAGCTGACCTCAACCAGTCTCCTCTAAGGACAATCAATAGGACAACAGCCCCAGACAACTACCTCCTTACGAATTACCATACTACCCTCAGACACTACCAAAGGGATAATTCAAATTCATAATGAAATACAAATATCAAAACAATTTTTGGTTCGAGTACATAAATACATAAATACATAAAACTAATAAAATTACATATTTTGATGATAAACAGCACATACTGATATAAATGTTATAAAGACATTTTTTAAAGCAGATGTTTCTGCATTAATTGATAAATTAGATACAAAACATTCAAATAACAATATTAGTGTATACTCTAATTGATTCACATAAAAAGTGACAACTGAAATACATGCACATAACGATGCATTATTGCATATATAATTAAAAACTTGAAACTAAGAAGTCAGTCAAGGAATCAGGATAAATGCAGAGGCCAACTTTCATGAGCATGAATGCTTGAGTCGATAGCAGCCGCCGGGAAGCGGAGGGGGTGTACATGACGCTGTTATAGGAGTATGTAGGAAAATAGAGTGTCACATATAAAGATTTTAGTTCAGAAAGTATCTTAATAAAAATTGGAAAGAAAATAAAGAAAGATTCTTTTTTTTAAGAGTGTGCAAGTGGGTTTGCGCAGGTGATATAAGTGTTCGATCGTTTTGTTCATGAACTGGTCATCTAAAATGTCTTCATATAAATAAACAATTCAAATCGTTAAGACCCTTATAATGTTTGTGAATATTTGGAAATTAAATGTTTTTTATCATGATTATTACGTTCTCGATATCATGTTGAAATAATATTTCCAAGAGTGTTACAATGAAAAATTCACTTAATTTAGTGTCTTAAAGCAGTGAAATAAACATAGTTAATATATACAATGGTAATTGATATAGATTATACGTAACATTTCAATTCTAATACAAATGAAATGTTTTTTTTTCTTCAGGGAACGTTACGCTTTATTCTAACATGACACGGAACTTGTTCATAAAATTGAGTTGTGTAATTACCAAAGAATGCACAAATTGTCAAACATAACGTTGATAAATTTGAAAAACATAAAAGCCAGACAAGATAATGTTTCCCCAAACACAAGTCTGCCGACTTCATTTATAATGATTTTGATTAACATAAATAGGTAAATTAACCAATAAAATAGTATGCTTTACACTTTTGTATTTTATGAAGAAGAGATGGTGAGTAAAGGCCTTTGTTAAACAGAGATATTCTGTCACCCCATTTGTAATTGACGCAGTTTACAATGGACGGCCATCCATAGCACCCGTCATGATGCGCGGTCTGGCTTAGATGGCTCTCCATATTCGATTGCGTCACCTGTGGAAGAGTCTTTACGCCTCGAATGTTTCCGTTGCGTTGGCTCGTGTATCCCTCGTATCGGACGTACCTCCTTCTCCGTCACCAGCAAAGAGTGAATGGATTCCACGACTTCCTCGGATGCTGTTTCTCATAAACAGATCCTTGAGAGCTTTCCTAAACTTAGGCATCCTGGCGGCGTAGATGAAAGGGTTCACACAGAAATTCGCAAAGCGAAGGATGACAAAACATTGGGAGAGAAGATTGAAGAAATGGGTGAACTGGAAATCGCCAAAGTTGAAGACGAGTAAGCTAAACCAAAGGGGTGTGTGGCAGATGATGAAAGTGATGATAACGATGAGGAGCGTTTGGAGGACACGACCCTTAATAACCTGGCGGAGTGATGTAGCTTGACGTTGCCGAAGGATGTAGATAGTCCAAGCATGTGATGTCACCATGACGACGACAGGTAGAGAATACTCAAGAATGAATAAACAAACATCAAGGAATCGGTGAAAGGCCAAAGGAAAGGAGAGTACGCACTGTCTGTCTTCTGTTACGAAGTAGGCGTAGAGACTTTGAATGTTGACTATAAAGGCTGCGATCCAGATGACAATGACTGCGATTGAAATGCGCTTTGGAGAGAAGAGACGTTGGAACCAGATTGGAAATCGTACAGCCATCAACCTCTCGATCGATATGGTTGTCAGGGTGAAGATAGATGCACTAATGGATATCCTAACCAAGACAGATGTTTGAATAATCCGACAGTAGAGCTCGCCTGCAATGGTATCCGGAAGTTGGATGACTTGACGATGTGGTATGAAGAAGATGGATGCCAAGAAATCGGCCGCGGCTAGAGCACCGATCAAGATGTCGGTGGCACAGCGTCGACGTCCTGGCCAAAAGATGACGAGCATCACCAGTAGGTTTCCTAGGATACCGATGATGGCTAGGACCAACTGGATAACCTGCCACCACTCCCACGAAACAGGTGCCCACACCCAGGCATCATTCCTTGAGTTCTGTTCTATTCTGTTCTGCCAGTCACTGTCCATCGTCGTAATGGTCGAGCCACGGTTGAAGAGGATACGGTCTTGAAGATCAGTGCTTTCGACCAAGTTCAGCAATCACCCACTCCGTCCGAATTACTGCGAGGGGAAAAATGATCAGTATACTCAAGCCATTCACTGTTCTACTACTACTACTACTACTACTACTACTACTACTACTACTACTACTACTAATACTACTACTGCAATTGCTTAAAGTTAGTACGCCTACTTGGTACAAAAGGTGCACATTTCTAGTTTAATTTTCTACATAGTGAATTTCTGTTATACACTTGCTTTCGTATTTTCTTCAACGCATATTCAATTATAGAATAATGGAAAAATGAACGCTTTAGTTTTTTTTACCTTTGAGGCTGGTTGTAATTGACAGCTATTAAAGTGAATTCTGGACCGCTAAAGGACGACAAAACTCCCGTCGCTGTTTGTTTACGTGTAAGTGAAATGAAACTGTTCATGTTCTCCGTTTGTCTGTCTCTTTCTCTGTCTCTTTTTTTTCTCTCTCTCTCTTTCTCTCTCTCTCTCTCCCTCTCCCCGCCCTCTTTCTCTCCCTCCCCCTCTTTCCCCCTCTCACTCCCTCTCCTCTCTCTCTGTCTCTGTCTCTCTGTCTCTCTCTATATCCCCTTCTCTCTATCTTACAATTAAACCACCAGCATATTTTACGCTCTCGGATGGCAGATCAGAGTAGAATCTACTCTTACAGCTCAAGTTTAAAGTGACTATCAAATGAACACAAGCCTAAATTAAATCAATCTCTCTCTCTCTCTCTCCCCCCCTCTCTCTCTCTCTCTCTCTCTCCCTCTCTCTCTCTCCCTCTCTCCCTCCCTCTTTCTCTCCTTTTCTCTTTCTTACAACTGAACCACCAGCATGTTTTACGCTCTCGGATGGCGGATCAGAGTACACGTAGAATCTTCGCTTACAGCTCAAGTTTAAAGTGACTAGCAAATGAACACAAGCCTAAATGAAATCAATGCCTCATATAATTTAAATCGGGAGGCACCCACCTTTAATACGTGATGTCTCAAAAAATGCAATGAGATTTTGATGGCAACATCTTAAGAGGTATCCTCCATGAAATTTCAAAGGTAATTTTGTAGTAGTATATCTTTCAAAGTTTTATATCTCTTACAAAGTTTTGGTTTGGGGTAATAAAGTTGGTTCAAATGAACATATTGGAAGTATTATGCGATTTTACAATATTCATTGATCGCTGTCGCGGTTGACATCGAGTCTAAACTGATGAAATTGTAAATAATATACTCTTTGGCCCGAATTCACAAAGGAGGTTTGTCGACAAACCGAGGTTTGTCGACAAACCTCCTTTTGTTTTGACAAACCTCCTTTTGTTATTTACAAACCAGGTTTGTAAAAAACGCGTCAAAACGCGTCATATGACGTACATAAAAATTCGGTTTGTCGACAAACCTCCTTTGTGAATTCGGGCCTTTATGTTGGATAGCTCCCTCTCAATACCGATATTAATTAAATTTCAAAACAATTTTTTTAAAAAACTACAATCGACCGATTTGCTATTCACGTTTGGAAATTATATATCAGAACTGCATATTCTGAGATTGTCATGGTCGCAGCTACCATGGAATGGTCTTAAAGGGATAGTTGACTTCTGTTGCAGAGGGCACTACACAAAATATTTTTGTTTGTGAAATAATGAAAAACTGAGTGTCAAATTTGAAAGAAAATACAATTTAAATGATAAAATCATCTTTGTTTGATCAAAATCGGTTCAGAGACGGCTGAAATATCTATAAATATAACGATTTCTAATACTTGTGTACCACCACAAATATTAGATAATTTGAAAAAACCTTTGAAAAACGAAGTAGCGCCTCTAACGTCGTATTTCAGCCAATGCCGATGTTGGCTTTTTTGTTGGCATTTTCGTGTTGGTTATATTACGCACAACCAGCCGGCCCATGTATTGTTATTTTTAATTAAATAATTAATTCAATAATTAATTAACGGTCACCGTTTTGGGGGAAAGTGGAGCCGAATTGGTATGATTGTATTGGCTAAATTTCACACAGTTTGGGGTCTAAAATTACCTTCATAGCAATTTTAGGTTAAAGGGCACTAGAAATGTCATAGCTATTAAGAATAACAGCAATAATCATGCATTTTGAAGGCATTTGCAGTCTGAAAACAGAACTCAACTATCCCTTTAAGCGAAATATTTGAAATTTACCAGGAGCACCGGTAAATTTTGATTATTCGATTTCTCGAAAGCAGAAGTCTTTTAGGGGCTAAATTTTGGAGTAATTATAATACATACATAGGGGCATCCAAATATATTAAAATGTTAAAGAATTTCTATCCATCCAATTTTCAAATTTTCCCAAAACTTTATCTTTACCTTTAATCGCCGTATACACTTTTTTTCTTCTCGAGACTACCTGTTTACGGTCAACTCCCACATAGCATACACATTCATCCCAGTCACACTTCCAGACCGACTTCAGATCGACCGATAACCGACAAAATACTGACTATTCGGTGTAACTGACATGTCCAGTTTTTCTCGCCCCGCCCAATTATCTTCAGGTCAAGCACCATAAACACGTTTACATATCTTGGGCGCGTTCCACAACAGAATGAGGCCATGGCTTTGGATTTGGCAAGAAAGCAAACTGATATATTTGATATACATTCGGCATTATCTGTAGAGATCTGACATATTATACAAAGGACCCCCCCCCAAAAAAAAAAAAACAACAACAACAAAACAAAAAACAAAAACAAAAACAAAAACAAGACTTAAAATAATAATAATAATAATAACAAAATATTAATAATAATGGTAATAATAATAATAGTGAAATAATGTATAATAAAAATGTATTATAGATACATATGTATACAAATAAGAATAATAATATTGATTAAAAAAATGATAGGAAATAAAAAAAAATATTAGGGCTCTTGAAATTTTAGATGGAGAGGGTGGTTGGGGTTCCTATTATCTTCATTTCACGTACCTTTTCCCTTCCTCTTTCTTTTAAATCATTCTCTTTCTCCTCTTTCTTTCGTTTTCTTTCTAATTTTTTGGCCATTTTATTTGGGCACCTGTTTGCCTGCCCTCTTCCCCCACTGTTCCCTTACAACATATATGAAGATGTGACACCCCTCCCATTCGAATGTTTAGTCGGTAAATTTTGAATTTTAGAAGCTTGTTGCCAAGCAGCATAAATAATGTTGATGACTTAAAAAAAATATTAAAACATCTTCAAGCTTTCACGCTTGGGATCTTTCTCCCTTTCAGCTTGGTGTGAATTATATTTGGAAGAACCTCAATCTTCAGATCTAGATATCCTATGAACATTATTTTTGTTTACCCTTTTAGGCAAATCTACAAAATTTACAATTTTGTATGTATGTTTTTGTTTACTCTTGTCAGCAAATTCTAAAATTGGTTGACTTTTTGTTTATAATGGTAAGCGACGCCTCTTGTACCTTCCCTATCCAAAAACTCTTGAACATATTGGATAGAGCCTCCATCACTACCTCACTTCATTACCCGGATAGTGATTCTTCATAAAACTTGAACCAGAGCAATTTGAATTATATATGCCTAATTCATAACGATATGGGTATTGAAATAAAACTTGAACCAGAGTGACTTTGAATTACATATGCCTACTTCAACAGAGTATTAACGCCCTTACTCTCGTCATGGTCAAGAAATCCACTCAAGGAAACCAGTCTGCACGCACATACTCCGATTTGACACTTTACCACAAATCATCAAGCATTAAGCAGAGTCTAGCTCTGCCAGTCTCTGGCTGCATCAAATCAGCTATTAAGTAGAGCCTCATTTGCAGTATGGTCTCAGCCTAGTCTCGCTGTGCAGACACTGTTATGCACAGCGACTGACAAGGCTTTGTATGTGCAGACTATCAAGACATCAGCCTAGTACAAGTAGGCCTGTGGCAAAGATATCATACTTTGTTTTCAAAATCATGTTTTTATTTCCCCATATTTTCAAAAAGTAGGCCTTGGCCGAATACGAGGTCTATTTTCTGTTATTTTGAACTCTCATGATCTTTTTTCCTCATCCGGGAGCAGCCCATTAGGGCCAAAATTAACAACCACGAAAACAAACAAAGATGGATTCAAAAAAACAAAGTTCATAGCAAGATAGACAAAGTACCCAGAAGAAAGGACAAATTAACAAACAAACAAACAAAGCTATGATTCTGTCATGGAGGTTATTGTTTCCAAACTCACATTACATAGATAATACTGTTCATGGTAATAAATCTCAAAATATCAAATTGGACATTTCAAAGTAGCAATTTAATAACTCATTTGGAACTTTTCCTAGAGGCATTGCTTTTCGATAGGTGCTCTGCTACGCTACACGTCAAAAGAAGGGAATGTAGACCCAGCAAATTATTGGACCGCATTTTACTAATTTAGTAAAAACGCAACCCTGGGAATAAAATCAAGTTTAACAAAGGGAAAAATTAGAGCGCAGACTACCTTCTGATTATAGTGAACAAAAGCATAAACTACTCGTCGGTTTTGAATGTTAAAATGTTAAGAGAACACGGGCCATCAGACTGCGGGCCATGGTGTGCTCAAGATGTTCGTAAAAGGTCTTGGGGACGTTAAGACATTCAGACCTTAAAGGGGAGGTCCCCTGATATAAAGTTGGTGTAAATAGAAGCGGAAAGATGAGAGGAACAGGTCAATGAAAGTTTGAGCAAATTCCGATTAAAATTAAAAATCTATCTGCAATTTATACATTAACGCATGTTTATGTATATATATATATATATAAAATATATAAATCTGATCGAACAAACCATTCACACACTTGTGAAGAAGAAAAAAGTTAAACTTTAAAAGAAAAAAATAGTGTTTATTCAAAGATTGAGGTAAGTATGTTTTACGAAACTTGTTTTGGGTGTCAAGCTTTTAACACATGCGCGGATTTAGGTGGAGGCACACCTGGCCCGTGCCTCCTCCCATTTGGTGGTAAAAAGAAGGAAAGAAAGAAAAACCACAAAAAAGATAGAGAAAAAGGGGAAAAAAAATAAACCAAAAAAATCCATCCGGCTAAGTCAAATCACGGAGTTTCCGGCGTTCATTTTTCTTCCCGATTCTTCTTACTTCCTTCCTGATTTTGCCAAATGTTTGTTGCCATTTCATACCAGATATTTCACGCGATTCGGTGTACTAAACACACAGTAGCGGATATTACCTTTTTTAAATATTTTGTGTACTAGAATAGAATATATAATATGATAGAAAGCGCTATAAAATGTAGAGCAATAAATCTTTTATGAATACATTTGTATTATCTTTCCGTAAGAAAAGGAAAGGAAACCTGATCTGGAACAGCTTGTACAACGTCAATTCGAAAAGTTCCTGGTAGTGATCCTAATCTCCTAAGGAAATAGCGAGGCATGGTTAAAGATATTGAGAGGGCTCTTGACATTTTAGATGGAGAGGGTGGTTGGGGTTTCTATTATCTTCATTTCACGTTCCTTTTCCCTTCCTCTTTCTTTTAAATCATTCTCTTTCTCCTCTTTCTTTCGTTTTCTTTCTAATTTTTTTGCCATTTTATTTGGGCACCTGTCTGCCTGTTCTCTCCCCCCTCGTATGTCCGCCACTGTTACCTTACAAAATATATGAAGATGTGACACCCCCTCCCATTCGAATGTTCAGCCGGTAAATTTTGAATTTTTGAGGCATGTTGCCAAGCAGCAAGAGTAATCTTGATGGCTTTAAAAAAAGGTTATAACAAAATCTTCAAGCTTTCACAACTACAAGCTTGTAGTGAATTAAATTTGGAAGATCCTCTATGCACTGATTTAAAGATCCTATGAACATTTTTGTGTAACCCTACTGTACAGATCTACAAAAATCTTTAAATTGTATATATACTATTTTTTGTTGCTCTTGTTATTACTCTTGTCGGTAGATTCTTAAATTGGTTGATATTTTGTATAATGGTAAGTGACCCCCTTGTAACTTCCCCTATCCAAACACCCTTTAATATAAAGGAAAGAGCCTCCATCGCTACCCGGATAAGGATTCTTCATTACCATCATACGGCCCATGACGGTGGGAAAGCCGATAGTTTTGACTAATAAATTGACCATCTGTCGACTGACCTTCTTGGATTGAAGTCACCTTTCCGGGAATATCCTCATCCAAAATCATTCGGGGATTTCATATTTGGATCAATATGGTTTGTTAATATTTATATCATAGAGCAAAGCTGACATTTTGATTCTGACTTCCTTGTCCCACTCCAGCATATAAAGGTAGTTCCAGCCAGTGCACGTTGCAGTATCTAAAACGAGAGGAGCTTCCGAATGTAACTGCTCTGAACGGTATACACTCTCCATACAAGGGTAAGTGTTTTAGTCGCTCTTCTAATTTAATCTTTCCTTTGCCACAAGTGCCAACTTTCACAGTTGCAAGTTTACCATGAGTGCCGATTTGCACAAACCCAGTAGGTATCAGTTGACAGAAAATGTACTTTGTGCAACACAAAAGCTTTGCAAATGTATATATTTCTAGTCTTGATTAGCTGCATGACAACCCATCTAACATCTGCAAAGATTGAACTGACACTCTTTCTGGAAACATTTAAATAATCTTGAATCCTTTTCACAAACCAAGTAGGTATCAGTTGACAAAAAGTTTACTTTGTGTAACACGAAAGCTTTGCAAATGTATATATATTCTGGTCTTGATTATTAGCTGCATGACAACCCATCTAACACCTGCATAGATTGAATTTACACTCTTTCTGGAAACATTTAAATAATCTTGAATCTTTTGGTATAACTGTGTCATGAGATATGTACTCGTGGAAGAGGGATATAATCTCGTCAACACACGAAGAGTTTAATAACGCAGAGGAGTGGAAAATCCACTACTTTATGAGTCGTATTAGAGATAACTTGGAGTTGGATCGACTCCAGTTTATAGTGGAATCTACCCCAAGCTTGAATTACTATTTGGATAGGGCATTACACAACTTTGTGCGTTGATTTCAATTCCAAAGCGAAGTGATCAATTATATGTTCATATATGCTCAGGTAGACCGCCAAGATTTACCGCAGCATATCTGACCGCCAAGGTTCACCGCAGCATATATAAACGCGCCTTAAAATCCTCAAAAGAAAGGTTTTCCATTTAAAAAGTCTAATCTTCTTGTTAGGTATTATTGGCATTTTTTCATTCTCGTGAAACATTGTTGTTTTGTCTCTATTTTCGTGAGCGACAACATACAGTGATTGATACTTAATATAAACAATTTGAGAACAATATACAACTATTTATACAGGTAGTCAGTATCACTAATTATGGCGGAACGTAGTGACGTTTAGAGGTATTTTTCCTAATAGAATGAATATCTTTCAATTGGTTTTTCATTACAAAAAATAGGCCCTAGACAAAATGCATTTCCTTTTAAAAAAAAAACACTCTTCATATATTCTACAAAAGGATCTCGTAATCTGGAGATGAATTTTATGGTAAAAATCAAGATCAGAAATTATACTAGCTAATTATAATCAATGACCAAAGCATTACAACTTTGCAGTATTAATTTACGGGTTTCGATTACCTTTGAATTTCATGCCCAGTTCTTGAAATGAATTTTGATGTTAAATTATTGAATTTGGTATGTATATAGATATAATATATACATGCATGTACACATATATTATAGACACAGTCAAGGAAAAGAGGGAGAGAAAGAGAAAGAGGGGGTGGGGACACATTGTAGGAAGACATTAGGGAAGATTTATCTCTCGACGAAACACGACACAGACGCTCATAACAATGCCTGAATACTGGTATACCAATGACTCGTTAAACGTAATTGCAATGTGGATTTAACAGTTTATGAAGTTTAAAAAAAATATCATCCTTGAAACATAAGCCACAATATGGTTAGTTCACTGGTTCATGGAAAATAAACATTTGAAATATTGTGTGAAAGCAAACATTTTATCACGGAAGCAATCTGGTCATTGCCACATCACAGGAAGCTAACACATAAACACGCGCAGATAACATGACTTATATTACATAGTCAACCCATCTTTATATATTTGAAAGAAAAACAAATATGAACCTATGCAGGCGGTGCCAGATCATTTTGTTCGAGGATATAAGTTTCAATGAAGCTCACGATAACATGCCTGAGTAGTTGTCTTATCACTGTTGTTTCACTCATTACAGGTAATTCTGAAGATTCGTTCAAATTACTTCATAGCAACCACCTCCAGGACGTTCTCCAACACAACTCTCAAAGGCGACACGACTGGGTAAAACGATGGACAGTGACGGGCAGAACATCTCTAGGAATGATACATGGGTGTGGAAACCTTTTGAATGGGAGTGGTGGATATGTATCCAGTTGGTGCTAGCCATCGTCGGTATCCTAGGAAACTTACTGGTGATGCTCGTGATCTTTTGGCCAGGACGTCGACGCTGTGCCACCGACATCTTGATCGGTGCTTTAGCCGTGGCCGATTTCCTAACATCAATCTTCATCATACCACATTCAAAAGTGAAGATGTACCCTGACACCAATGCAGCTAGGTTTTACTGCAAGATTGTCCACACTTCCACCTTGATGTGGATATCCGTTTGCGCATCCATCTTTACCCTGACAACCATATCGATCGAGAGGTTAGTGGCTGTACGATTTCCAATCTGGTTCCAGCGTCTCTTCTCTCCAAAGCGTACCTCTATCGCCATTGTCTGTATCTGGATTGCAGCCTTTGGCATCAACACCCGAAGTCTCTATGCTCGTTACATATCAGATGGTAAATGTGTGCTCTCCACACCGTCTATGGCATTCAACCGATTTATCGGAGTCTCTCTATTCCTTGTGGAGTATGTCCTACCGGTTATTGTCATGGTGGTAGCGCACGTGTGGACCATTTATATTCTTCGTCAGCGTCGTTCATCATCGCTCCGCAAGGCGCAGAGCCTTGTTCTTCAAATGCTCCTCATCGTCGTCATCACTTTCATTATCTGCTGGACACCTGATCAGTTTGGGTTCTTGGTCTTCAACCTCGGCATCGTCCCGTTCACCCACCTCTTCAGTCCTCTCTACCGATGCTTCGTCATCCTTGCCTTCGCGAATTCCTGCGTGAACCCTTTCATTTACGCCGCCGGGATGCCTAAGTTTAGGAGAGCTCTCATGGATCTGTTTATGAGAAAGAGTATCCGAGGCAGTCGTGGAATCCATTCACTCTTTGCTGGTGAAGGGGGAGGAGGTACGTCTGAAAAGAGTTATACACCAACAAAAGCAACGGAATCATTCGAGGTTTAAATACTCTTTCACGGATGACGCAATAAAATATGGAGAGCCATATACGCCAGATCACGCATCATGACGGGCGCTTTGACCATAATGGCCGCCCATGCTTTACTGCGTCGATAACAATTAAGTGGGGTGAGGAAAATAATCTTTGTTTAACTAAGACTTGTACTCACTTATCTTTTTGTTATTAAGTACAACAGTGTAAAGCATATTTTTTGATTGGTCATTATTACATATCATCATTATAAATGCAAGTCAGCAGACGTGTGTATATGGGTCATATTACTTTGTCTGACATTTACGTTTTGACAAATTTATGAATGTTTTATTTTACAATGTTTGCATTCTGTGATAATTACACAAGTTGTACAAAGTCCATTTTATGTTATAATTGACGGTAATGTCCCGTCGAAAAAGAAACATGGCATTTGCATCAGATCAACAATTTTAAAAATAATTTTTTTCTAATCATCCGACTCATTGGATTTTTAAAAACTATGTCTATATATTGATGCTTTAAGACCGTATTACATTGAGTGAATCTTTTATTCTCTTCTTCTTCAAGTTTGTAGACCCTCCGACAGGCCATTTTGATTGAAAATCAATCACTGAATAACATATTTGAATACATGAACCAATGAATATCATATGATACTTCAGAATAAGATATACATAATGAATATCAACCATAATAAACGATGACTGAAAGCGTTGCATATTGATTATAACAATTTGAAAATGATAAAACTGTATATACAGAACATAGATATTTGTTTTAAAAACACAATAATGCAACATCATGACTGAAAATGATGAGGGAAATTCAATAAAATAATGCTATTTGAATCAATTTTTTTTTGGTAATACTCTTGGAAATATTACTTTAACCTGATATCAATAACTTCATCACCATGTGCTTAAGAGATATATAAGAAATTATATCAGTATATGCTATTTATCATTAAAATATATTTAGTTTGTTTAGTTTTATGTATTTGAAGGTTATTTGATATGTACATATATATGTATTTACATTTCATAATTTGTTGTATTTTATTGTAACACGGTCCCATTGTAAATGAGTCGGGCAACAGAGCTGAGTTTATCGCACTTGAACATATAAGTGTAGTGAAATAAGATATGATTGTGGAAACGCTATAGCAAGAGAGAATATCATGTTCACTCCATCATATAAGAACTCTTGTGAGTAATGTGCCGCGGGATTCCATATCCTTAAACTGCTGGCGAACAGAGCAACAAGACCAAGCTCTGTAATTATTAGGATCTCTGTCCAGTAGTGCCGTGTTTGTGCCATCGAATTGGATCGACCAAATCAATTGATTCATAATATATGTATATGCAATATTTTTCCCGTAACATGAGAGTAATTTTAATAGTTTCATACTATTAATTAAATGTATTGTTAACTGTAACTGTATACTTGTTTTAAATGGGGGCACGCTACAAGAGTCCTATCTCGCACCCCGGGGCAACGTGTCTGACACGGCCGGTTGTAGCAACTACTCCGAAGATCAAGATTACAGTAATCTTGATCTAAGAAGACACGAACGAACGAACTCCATCATATGGCAGATACTAGGGTTAACTTGGAGAGGCGCGGTTAGTTTCATTTGTAGAGCAGTGGTCTCGTAACCGGGAGGTCTGGGTTCGAAACCAAGTCAATACGCTTTTGTCCTTTGGTAAGGCAGTTATCCTCATTACCAAGTCCCCCTCAGAGAGGACTTAAAGCCCTCGATCCACTTGTTGCTTACTTACAAACATACCCATGTTTTCTTAGCAGTCAGGTAAAAACAAAACAATAAAAACAAAAACAAGACAATTTCCGGCTTTTGATGATAATAATAACATTTGATACTTTTATAGCGCGCTTATCTCCAACTCAAGGTGCTCAAGACGCTCCAATATTAAACATCCCGGCTCTAGCTGGGCTATCAATTCCAATGCTCAAAGCAATCAAGGAATTCTCTCCTTCTGGTACACATTAAACACCTGGGTGGAGAGTGGCAAATGTTGATTACCGTATTGCCAAAAGACACTATTGCTGCGCAAGAGCCCGAACTCACAATCTTCACATTTCCAGCCAAGTGTTATAGTCCGGATTTTGTCCGTTTTTGCATATTTTTAATTCTTAATCATTTATGTCATGCCCCCTTACATGCATCCCGCCCAAATCACGCGACCACCGAAAATACACCCGTCGAAAAAACGGAGAGAATGAAAGGCAAGGGCTGTCTCCGGCTTAGCGTTGAGGGTGTGTTATTTTCTCAGCTGATTGGGCGCGCGACGGACACGAAAAGGTCTAGGCAGTGGAATTGCCAAGTGTTAAAACCGGACGACTACGACTCCTCTACATTTTTAGATATTCGACAATGACATGTGAAAACCACGACAACCGCGTGAAAGTATCTACTCATATCAACCCTATTTTACTCTTTATTCCCATGCTATGACGGGCACATTGTCCTTTCTAGATGGATGAAATGGTGTCTGTGAATTTGGGTTTCCACAATGGTTCTTTAATTCCCCCTCATGCACATGTCCATGTACATATATCATACATTAGTATTATGTTTACCCATAATTCCCTTTGTGTCCTTTTTTGATGTGTACATGGTGATGTAAATATGAAAATGAAATTAAACTCGACATGATTATCAAACTGGCTATTTTGTTCGTTAGTGCTTTATATTCGGACATTGAGATGGGGTATGTTTTTTTCTTCTTTAATTTAGGTCCACCTTCTGAAAACAATGTTATCTGTTGTGTAAGTAAAAAGATACTAATTCAATAACAAACTGAAACCGCGCCTTTCAGACTGCTGAACGATCGGTTATAAAAGTATCGTCTACCTTTGAATATTGAACTTTTTTTAAATTATTTTAAATCAAGTGGCCTTTTCTCCAACTGAAAGGCTAGTATTACCCTGCGCTTTCGACTTTATCATTCGTTATAACATATTCGGACCTCTATTATGAATAATGTCAGTACTTTCAATTATCCAGATCGAATCATATATTTCAATTATTTTGCAGTCCTGTGTGTTAAGTGTGATTTCTTGTGTGTATAAAGGGGCGTTGTCCTTCATTCGTATCCACCATTATCGTTTCGACAATCTAAACAATTCAGAGGTTTCGCACTTAGGCTAAATGTCCTGCGCAGTGAATGTGAAAAAGTGATTTTAAAATTCTTTTTATCTGTATTCATGCTTTGCTTTGGGTTTCTGATTTTCCAAGGTTACTAAACTATCTATTAACCCTTCGCCTACGTCATTCTGACTTTTCTCTGCGTTTCTTCTCTCTTTCTCTCTCTCTCTCTCTCTCTCTCTCTCTATGTCCCTCTCTTTCTCTCTCTCTCTCTCTCTCTCTCTCTCTCTTCGTATTCTTTTCGGCTCCTCCCCTCCCCCTCTCTCTCAATCTGGTAAGCGTCAAAACAAGCGCATCCTATCCTCATAAAATAAAATAAAATTGATTTCTTCGTGTACGAAGGATCATTATTTGTTACGGTTGTGTGTATTTTCTCAGACTCTGAACTGAACTCTTTATACATATATATTATCTCACTCTGTTTCTCTCCTCTGTCATTCCCTTTTTCATCTCTTTCCTTCTCAAGTCTTTATTTATATCTCTCTCTATCCCTCACTATTTCTCTCTCTCTTTCTCTCGCTGTTTATGTTTTTCAAGATTCAATATTCAAGATAATTTATTGTCATGTTAAAAATACATAACATTTGTTTTCGGACATTTGAAGGTGCATACATGTAAATGAATATATACATAAAAACAAAATAATTACATTTTAAAGGTACTATGTCCCTTTTGCAGCCAACCTCAAATGCTGTAGAACTTTGCAGGAATTATGAATATGTCATGTATGTCCTATCTGTGAAATTTAAACGTTAGCAGTGTCCTCATATTCAAATTATGCAAGGAAACCCGTTTACTTGCTAGACTTCACTGTCAGACACTATTGAGTGACTGACTGGCTTTTTTCTTCTTTGGTAATAACATACATGAAAAGAGTTGTAAAGGGTACATGAGTATTTGTCTACATCAATAACCCACTTCTTGTGATGGCCAAGATTAAACTGATTGAATCTTTGCGCAGCATAAAACGTATGACCATTCGGTACAATTGTCTGAAAATCAAGACTATTACTTTGGGGCTCTATAGCCCTAAAGTCGATTTGACAACTAATAGTCGTTATTTTCCCACTTGAAGACATTTTCAAGCCCCACCTTTTTTAGGGAAGTTCTAAATTAGTATTATCTTTCAAATGCAGCTGGAATTTAACTTTTTCATATTTTTGGCCTGCAAATGGGACATAGTACCTTTAACATAACATTTAACAACCATAATAATAATAATAGTACAGTTCTTATAAAGCGCATAATACATTTGTTAACATCTCTACGCGCTGTAAGAAAAATGAAAAAGAAAAAAGTAAATACTAGTGAGGAAAAAGTAGGAAAAAAATACTGCATGGTAATATTCTACACAGCATGGTCAAATTTTACAAAGAAGGACCTGTGTGTAGGATTTGTTCACCTCTTATGAAATAGGTTGCATTAACAGAATTATATTCTACTGAAGGAGGCAGTTCAATTTAAAAAGCTTGTTTTGAGCTCGTCCATCCAGGCACTTGATCATTTCCAGAACACCTCTCCAGCTAAGACTACTTTACGCATCAACACACACGCTCACGCGCGCACAACCACGAATACACACGACACATGCTACACACACGCACAATATAACCGTACACGCCCTACACACACGGACACTGTAATTAACATGAAAAGTGCTCCGGCATAGAAATGCCTGGATGGATATAATTGAGACAATAAATTATCTCAGGATAAAAAGCTAAAACGCAACGGCGACTTTGAAAGAAGGGAGGAAAGAAAGAAGAAGGAGAAGAGACAGTCATGCCAATTCCTAAGCCAGGGCGTGGAGGGCAGTGTAACACATTTACAGATGACAGAAGATTTATTTGTGATTGTTTTGTTTCATTTTTCTTTAAAATATATCATATGGTCACTGGTCAGTATGTGATAACAAAACCATTTTATTGCAAAATTCAAATAATTTTGTTCATTAGTGAAAAGGCAATGTATTTGGCTCTGACAAGACTTTAAACAAAATACCAGTTATTTGAGAATAAAACGAGCAATTTGCAAATGTGTTACACTGCTGTCATTAAAGTTGAATACATACACAATTACACATATATGAAATTAAAACATGAATAGATATCGTCTCACTATTCATTAAACAGCATGTGTACACATATTGGACTTTGTGCTTGGAAAACCTACGAATATTCTCAAACTCTAAACGGAACTATGAAATTTCTTTTGTTTCCTTCCTACTTCTCTGGAAGGTAGCAATAATAATAATAATGTATTTGTGTAGTCATTGGAGCGTTTCCATGTTCTATTGTCACTGTGTGTATTAGCTGTACGTGTGGAAGTATCTAAATCATGTTCCGTTATCTAAAAGTGCACAACCAGTAATAATTTTTAGTCCATTTGGCTAGAGTCGAGTTGTTTCAATTCAGTTAAGTCAATGAAAGCAAATAAGTAAATTGTCCATCAAGACTAGGTGAGTGTCTGAAATTTCTACAAAAACATTTGCAAATGAAATAACGGATAGTACAAGTTCATGGACTTTCGTGAAATCAACTGTAGGGTTAATTGTACACCATGTGTCACTATAATTAATGCTTTAAGTTCTGATATCTAAGGTGTATTTTGACCTTATATATGTTTTGTGTAATAATGTATTTGTTTTTGTCCCAATGTGTTGTTGTTCGTGTCTGATCATAATCCAACCTTGTGGATTTGTATCAATGAATTTGAATCTCTTGATGTTTTTGCTCATTACGCCACTGTTCACTAGTTCATGAAAAACATTTGAAATATTGTATGAAAGCAAACATTTTATCACAGAAGCAATATGACCATTGCCACATCACAGGAAGCTAACACACAAACGGATATAAACATACGCAGGTAAAATGATTACCTATTCTACCTAACAGTCTTAATATATTTGAAAAAGAAAACAACTATGAACCTATGCAGGCGGTGTCAGAGCATTTTGTTCGGGGGCATAAGTTTCAATGAAGCTCACGATAACATACCTGAGTAGCTGTCTCGTCACTGTTGTTTCACTCCGTACAGGTAATTCTGAAGAGTCGTTAAAGTCACTCCATAGCAACCACCTCCAGGACGTTCTCCAACACAACTCTCAAAGGCAACACGACTGGGTAAAACGATGGACAGAGACTGGCAGAACATCTCCAGGAATGATGCCTGGGTGTGGAAACCTTTTGCCTGGGAGTGGTGGATATGTATCCAGTTGGTGCTAGCCATCGTCGGTCTACTAGGAAACTTACTGGTGATGCTGGTCATCTTTTGGCCAGGACGTCGACGCTGTGCCACCGACACCTTGATAGGCGCTTTAGCCGTGGCCGATTTCTTAACATCCATCTTCATCATACCACATCCAATAGTGGACATGTACCCTGACACCAATGCAGCTAGGTTCTACTGCAAGATTGTCCACACTTCCACCTTGATGTGGATATCCATATGCGCATCCATCTTCACCCTGACAACCATATCGGTCGAGAAGTTAATTGCTGTACGGTATCCTGTCTGGTTTCAACGTCTCTCCACTCCAAAGCGTGCCACCATCGCTATTGTCTGTATCTGGATTGTAGCCTTTGGTATCAACACTCGGAGTCTCTATGCTCGTTACGTATCGAATGGTAAATGTTTATCCTCCAAACACTCTGTGGCATTATTTATCGGAGTCGCTCTATTCCTTGTGGAGTATGTCCTACCGGTTAGTGTCACGGTAATAGCGCACGTGTGGACCATCTGTGTTCTACGTCGACGCCGGGTAACAGCGCTCCGCAAGGCGCAGAGCCTTGTTCTTCAAATGCTTCTCATCGTCGTCATCACTTTCATCATCTGCTGGACACCTGATCAATTTGGATTCTTGGTCTTCAACCTCGGCATAGTCCCGGCCACCTACCTCTTCAGTCCTCTCTACCGATGCTTCGTCATCCTTGCCTTCGCGAATTCCTGTGTGAACCCTTTCATTTACGCCGCTAGGATACCTAAGTTTAGGAAAGCTCTCAAGGATATGTTTATGAGAAAGAGTGGTAATCGCGGAATTCATTCACTCTCTGCTGGTGAAGGGGAAGGAGCATATGGAAACGTTGTATCATCTGCTCAATCTGACTTGCGTGCATAGAACAAAATAAGCATTTTCCATGAAAAAGTGAAGTTTTCTAAAATGTGCGTTTCTTTCCAGCATTGGGGCGCCCGGAAGTCACTCGGGTAAAATTTCATGAAGTATAATATAAAAAGACCATATGCAAATTGTTTGTACTTTTTTCGGAAAAAATACATTTATCCAGCACACTGTCGTCTCTTTTTGCGTTGGAGAAGAGCAAATAGCGAGTTTCAATCACTCTTTGGCCGCTCTCGCAAGCTCTCACTCGTTTCACTGTGGTCAAGAGACTTTGGGGCAAGCGGTTAATGAAAATACTAATCGTTAGCTTTCTTCTGGTATCAAACTTGTTTTGATTGATTGTATAATTTTGTCGGAATAAAGGAAACAAAAAGGCTCGGCCAATAACTTATCAGCGTCTGTATTGACCTTTTGACCTTGAATTCCCTGATGCAAGCGCACTAATGACGTCATCTTCGCTAAATCGGTGTCTTTTATCGTAAAATGCGACACTTTCACAATGTTTATACATCTTTTTAAAATTATTAGTAAGATATAACATATTTTTTCTGATATCACTGAAGTTTTGGGTTTTATTTAATGAGTAATTTTAAAATAAAAGCCATTTTACTGTTTTAATTTACTGGATCGTACCATTAAAGTCGCAGGGTAGAAAGATGCATTTTCCAACCGCGCAAAATTTAATTTACGTTCCGACATTCTGTTAAATGGGTTCGTGTTGTTAAAGGTGAAATTCAAAGAAGATCACAAATATGTCAACTAATGTATCACTAGAAACTGGTAAGCTAACAGATGGCCATCGGACAAGTTTTAGGTAAACTACATATCGGGTGATTTATAAAAATACAAATACAACCACCTCCATAGCAGCTGGGATATACGAGCGATTCGCCGAAAAAATGACGATGATTTAATGACGTCACTATATGGACCAACACTGCCTAAGCAGACGACATCCCATAGAGAATGAACATAATCGCAAAGCTATTATTTATCAAATTATAATGAGTTTACTGTATATAAATGTAATGGCTTGTCAAACCATTCAAAAAGGGATATGACCCGATTCTGATAACTAAAATATTTTGCTTGTAAATACACAGGATAGGGGTTAATTAACAATCAAAGAAACCAGACTTTCAAATTGAAAAACCCCGGAATTATATTAAGGACGGCATTTGTTCCCTCTTGAAACGCCGGACATACCCCGGTGTGTACAGCTAAATATACAATGGCGTCTTATTTTGTTTACAAGCGACAGATTCCTTTATTTTTGTATCGCTGCATTTGTCATCAAAATAAAACCATGCGCGGGGTTTAGAGTGAGGCAATAGATTATTCATTTAGCCTGACGGTAGTGAAGTAAGAGAAAGAACTCAAGAGAAGATGAAAACACAGGCACTGAAAATGTGTGAGATGTCATGGGACATCGTCTGCTTGTGCAAATCATGTCCATACTGTGATCTCACACATCTCAGCAGCATTATGAGAGCTCTTCAGGTGCTATGCCGGGGCTGTATTTAAGCGTTTTGTAATTTATAATAATCATTACTTCGAATGTTTCCAAGCATTGAATTTTGATAACCTTGTCGAATCAAAGTTTCAACTTTGCAATAATCAAAATAAAGTTAGTTTTTAAAATCAATGAATATCTACTTTAAGAATCCACTGCTTTCTGCTCCAACAAACGTCCACATGCGGAGTCGTTTATCAACTAAATTATTCAAATTTATGGATGCTTCCTAGCTTCACAGGTGTTTGTGTTGCTGTTGAAGCATTTCATTTACCTGCTATCATTCTTTGTACTCCCACTGCCAGAACGCAAATTTCATTTTGGTTTGATAGTTTCATAGGAGTCGTTTATCAACTATATGTATTCAAATTTATGAATGCTTCCTCCCCAGGTGTTTGTGGTATTTATGCATTTCATTCACCTGTTAGTATTCTTTGTACTCCAATTGTTAGAATACAAATGCATTTTGGTTTTATAGTTTCATGCAATAAGTAAGTCAATAAAAAAGTAATATGTTCTGTACAATAAAAACAATGTGTGTTCCTATTGTACAATGTAATGTGTCCCCTCATTTTGTAATAGTTAATTTACCCATTCACATAATGGAACTACCTGCCCGATGAAGCCAGTGACCTGTGACCCCTGAGCACTCAACACCGTGTGGGAGTCAATTCGTGGTCAAATTCTTTTATGAGACAAATACAAGCAAACGTTTCCATATGGTACTTCTGATAAAAGTGATACACGAACCAGAGCAACGGAAACATTCGAGGTGTAAATACTCGTACAAGGATGACCCCCCCCCCCCTCCCACTCAGTGTTATTTAGGGTACGCATATGCGTGTTCCCTCCTTTTGAAAACACCCCCTAAGTCTGGTGTGTAAAGTCAATTTTGTGTATGTACGAGCCGGACTTTGGTGCGTGAAAAGTACTCCTTTACCGGACATTTTGGTAACACGCATGCGGTCATTCCGACCCCGGAGTTGGGGGTGGGGGCGGGAGGATGACGCAATAAAATATGGAGAGCCAGTTACGCCAAACCTCGCATCACGACGGGTGCTATGACCTCAATCGCCGTCCATAGTAAACCGCGTCGATAACAAGAAGGGTGAAAATGTATTTATGTTTAACAAAGGCTTGTACTCGCCTTTTTCTTCGTTATAAAACACAAAAATGTGAAGCATATTATTTGATTTGTCATTTGAACTGTTATCATTAATGCAGTCGGCAGACATGTGTTTAATCGGCACATTATTTTGGCTGGCTTTTACATTTTGACAAATTTATCAATGTTATATTTTGCAATTTGTGCATTTTTTTTTTTTTTTTATATATTTTTTTTTAATTTGTGCATTCTTTGATAATCACACAACTCAGTTATATGTACAAATTCTACGTCATGTTAGGATTGAACGTAATGTCCCTGAAAAAACAACAACATTGCATAAGATTAACAATTTCAAGAATCATTTATATTATCATTTGATACTACTTGTTCATTTGTAAAGGGAACCCGACTAACAAGCTCAAGCTTCTTTCGGGTTCCCTAACCATGTTTTACTTTATAAAAAATTATGTCAAATATGTATTGTATATATTTTTCAATCATCGTTCGTAATTTTGAATGTTTGTTTTTAAAAAAATGGTTGAACCAATAAATGAATGAATTGTTTTAACTATGTTTATATATTGATGCTTTAAAACGGAATTATACTTTGGGACATATTATTCTAACCTGATAAGAATATCATCATTATGGACTGAATGCGCCGAGCAGGCAGCCGTCTCTGTTTTTGCTCTGAATTTTACCGTGTTTTACTGATAATCTGAGTGTATGCTGTTTTATTGTTGATCAACTGTCATCTTATGTACTTGTGACACTGCATGACATTTTTGAGGTGATGTATTTATATATTAGATACTGGAAACTGTTTTTCTAAATTTTGATTCAACGGATGTGTACACGGTACATGCAAGTAAAGCCATTTTACACTGGGCTGTTACACATGTACTATACTGCATGGATGTGTGAACGTCGTTCGTGTGTGACTGATTTGCCTATCCGTGGTGTGACATTCATCTACATACAATGAATAGTCTTGATACGCACTGATGAATACTTACAAAGTATACGTTCTTTTCTACATTGCCCTATGTATAATTATCGGCCTCCGTGGACATTCGAGTTACTTTAAACATGAAACTGCGTTTGTTCCCGTTCGTGTTCCTAGCCGAGCTCATAAACAGCTTCATCGTAGCGGATATCACAAAACACCAATTAAGTATTATGCTAATGCAAGTGCAACTTTCACTTTACCTATCATTTGTTGCGGTGACGTGGAATCTAACCCGGGTCCGTTCGAGTTGACATCATGCAATACAAATAAACGATATAAATATACGCGAGGTGAATTGGTTAATAATAACTCAAATTCTTGTGGGAAAAGCTTACGACTACCAGTCCAGACATGGAAAACAATATCAGAGCTCGAAATTTGGAAAAGAGTTTAAAACCCGTCGCGGCTGCAGAGCTGGTGTTCGAAAATTGAAGCATTTCAAGCATCCCATTCCGATTATTCTACCTACGGCCCGTACCGAGCTCCCTAAGAAATACCTTAGGTCCCCTAGCCGAAGATGCTTGACTTCTGTCCCAGTCGCCCCTCAGTCTAGGTGCGATTTGCCTTCTTTTCTTTTAAGCAATGTCAGATCAGCATGCAATAAGTTTGATGACCTATCAGCTGTCATCTCGTATCTTCATGTAGACATTGCAGCTATTACCGAGACCTGGTTTAGGAATGACTGCCCACTCGATAACTTCTCTATACCAGGTTATTATCTCTGCACTAAATCACGTACTAATCGTATAGGCGGTGGAGTAGCTATCTACGTGAGAGAATTTTTTAATCCTTCTCCAGCCGATGTCCAAGTCCCTATAAACCTTGAAGTGACTTGGGTGAAGATACGCCCTCCTCGTCTTCCAAGATCCATCTCCTGCATTTACTGTGCAGTCGTATATTACCCTCAGCCTAATGTTGAACTTGAGACAGAACTCATAGATCATTTGGAAACAACTATTGATGTTATTTTAACTAATCATACGGATGCAGGTTTTGTAATATTGGGAGATTTTAATCGAATGAATATTGATCCGGTGCTTTTAACCCACACATTTCGTCAAGTCGTTGATTGCCCTACTAGAGGGGCTCACATTTTAGATAAGATTATCACTAATATTCATCAGTTTTATGATAAACCACAGATTTGTTCTCCTATTGGAATGTCTGACCACAATTCAATTATGTGGTTTCCTTTTAAAATCAAACCTAAATTACCAAATACTACTCGTTATGTATTCAACAGACCCATGACAGATAGTGCAATAAGGGTGTTTGGACAGTGGATATCTTCTTATGATTGGCCAGAAGGGACTCAAGATGTTGATGTAAATGTTCGATGTGGTTCTTTTTATAGTACTTTAAATAATGCAATTAACATTTATTTTCCAGTTCGTAAGGTATTATTACACTTTAGAGATAAGCCCTGGATGACAGGTGAAATTAAATCTCTGATTCATAAGAGACAAATTGCATTTCATCAGGGTAAGGGAATTTTGTGGAAACGTTTAAGAAACAAAGTAAATTCATCAATTCAGAAAGCAAAAGTTAAATATTACAGGTCACGTATTCAAAAACTTAAGAAAAGTAATCCTTCACGATGGTATCAAGAAATACGCATCCTCACAAAGGGAAGTCGTCAATTACTCAATATCCCAGTTGATGGTGTTGATCCTAGTGAGAGAGATAAAATTGCGAATGCCATAAACGAACATCTCATATCTGTCTCTTCTGATTTACAACCACTAAATTTAGTAGCTTTACCTGCATACTTACCTTCTAGAAGTTTACCCGAGGTATATCCTTGGCAGGTTAATAAAATTCTTTCTAAAATCAAATGCTCGACGGCGAATGGCCCAGATAATATTTCAGCACGCCTAATCCGTCTTTTTTCTGTTGAACTCTCGGGACCTTTAACCTATATAATTAATGCTTCTTTTAGTCAAGGAAAAGTTCCGGCCTTCTGGAAATGTGCTATTGTAGTACCGATCCCAAAGGTGAATCCTGCACGAATTGACAAACTCAGACCTATATCATTAACAGACCACTTTGCTAAAGTCATTGAAGGTTTCATCGCAAAGTGGATGTATCAGGACATTGCCCAACATATTGACCCCTGTCAGTTTGGAAACCAGAAATGTTTATCGACCTCACACTGTTTGATTAATATTCTTCATTATGTTTTTTTAAATGCTGAGGTACCAAAAACGTCATCGACGATACTTCTCACAGATTTTCAAAAAGCGTTTGATAGAATAGATCATACAGTTGTCATCAAAAAGTTAATTGAAATCGGTGTACGACCAGCGGTAGTTTACTGGATATCTGATTTTCTTTCTGAACGTAAACAAAGAGTTCGCTATCACAGCGATCTCTCAGAATGGTGTCAAATAAATGCAGGTGTGCCCCAGGGTACGAAACTTGGGCCCCTAATTTTTCTTGTGATGATAAATGATTTCAAATCTTCTGAAAGTATACGTATGTTTAAGTATGTCGATGATCTAACCCTAGTTGAGTGTCGTAAAACAAACCAAATTTCAAACATGCACGAAGCTGTAGAATGTCTATCTTTGTGGGCTGATATTAATAAAATGCAATTGAATCCTACAAAGTGTATTAAAATGGACATTTGTTTTTCAAGAGTACCAGTCAATCAGTCTTCCATTATTCTCGAAAATTGTGTTCTTTTAACTGTTTCACAGGTGAAATTACTTGGTGTCACGATACAAAACGACTTGAAGTGGGAAGCCCATGTCAGAGATATTGGAAAAAGAGCGAATGCGAAACTATATATGCTCCGTTCTTTGGGGAAGTTCGGTCTTTCACATGAAGATCTGATTACTATTTTTATTGGCTATATTCGCCCAATCCTTGAATATGCTACTCAAGTTTGGAGCGGAGGTCTCACTAGTGCGCAAAAACAACGCATAGAAAGATTACAAAAACGTGCATTGAGGATTATTTTTGGAAAGGATTATCATAGTTACGCAAACGCTCTTACTAAATCGAAATTACAAACATTGGAAAGTCATCGAAATGACTTATGTGTTACCTTCTTTAAAAAAAACTCTTTCATGCACAGACCAGTTCAAACAATTTATACCCCAAAGAGCACACAATAGAAATTTGCGAAGAACTAACAAGATCCCTGAACCCAGGTGCAAAACTAAACGTATGCAGAATAGCCCAATCCCAGATTTGATCCGTTTGTATAACAAAAGTTTTTTATGATTGTATTTAATATACTCTGAAACAAAATAACAAATTACAATTTCATATTCCTTAGTATATAATTAATTCATAAATTTGAGGTCTGATTTTTTTAGTCAAGTTAGTCAATGTATTTTTTATGACATGAAGAATGCGATGCATATCTATATTTATATTTTAATATCTCTAATGTTCACCTTATAATATTCATATTTGTCTTGCAATGTATCTTTGTATTTTATCAACATGTACATAATTGTTTTCCCTCTCTGTCCATCTGTCCCCTTTCTCCCCTCTCTCTCTCTCTCTCTCTCTTTCTCTTTCTCTTTCTCTTTCTCTCTTTCTCTCTTTCTTTCTCTCTCTCCTGCTTTCCCATCTCTCTTTCTTTTTAACTCAAATTTTTAAATTGAAATATTGTATAAGATGAATGGTATATAGTATATACACGCTCTTCATAATTATGTAGATTGTAGTGTGACATCTTGAAATGTATACTTGCTTTTTTCCAGCAATTTACTCATGTGCAATTCAGTTACTTTTTACTGTGATATCACTTGAAATGTATAATTGTCTTCACCATCAATGTTTTATTCATGCACAATTCAGTTACTTGTAACTGCGATACATGGAAATGAATCAATAAATACCATTTATCTATCTATCTATCTATCTATCATGTGCTTTATGAGATTTATCTCAGTATGTGATATTAATCATCTAAATATGCTACGTTGTGCTATGCAATGGCTTAGCATGGTGCAGGGATTGAGGAGGTAATGGCACCATGAGGGAGAACCGACCTTTTTAGATGAATGAAATGTCTGTAAATTTGCAACAATTAAAGGGGGGGGGGGTACTCAAAGGTTTTATCAGTCCCCTCATGCATATGTACGTGTACATGTATTAGTGTTATATTTACCCTGAATTTCCTTTGTGTCCTCTTTGCTGTGTAGATAGAAATGTAAACATAAAAATGTCATTAAAATCAATATGATTATTAAACTGGCTGTTTTGTTTCCTAGTGAATTATATTCGGACGACGAGGTGGTTTATTGTTTGTTATTTTATCTAATTTGGGGCCATATTCTGAAAATGATGTTATCTGTCATGTCAGGGAAAACGATGTCAAATGTCATAACAAACTGAAAATGCACAGAACTGACGTTTTGCTTCTTGTGTGATTTTAATTTACAATATGTGTATCATGTAAAATATTGAAAAAATAAAATGAAGCTGAAACTGAATAACCTTTTAAAAACTAGGTCTTGAATAATATAACGAATTGAAATTCCATTTCGAATCATGTTGACTATTGTAATTGTCCTTCATTTATATCCACCATTATCGTCTCGACGATCTAAATAATTCAGAGGTTTCGCACTTTGGCTAAATCTCGTCGCTTTCAGTTTTCCTGTGCTGCATAGGAATAATTAAATTAGAAAATTTGATCAAAATTCTATTTTTCTGTATACATGCTTTGATTTGGGTCAATTCCTAAATTTCACAAGGTTATGAAACTATCTATCCGCCTACGTCCATCTGAATCTATATCTGCGTTTCTTCTCTCTATCTCTCTCTCTCTCTCTCTCTGTATCTCTGTTTATGTGTCTCTCTCTTTGTCTATATGTCTCTCTCTCTCTCTCTCTCTCTCGCTCTTACTCTCTCTCTCTTTGTATTATTTTCCTCTCCTTCTTTCCCCCTCTCTAAATTGGGTGAGCATCAAAACAAGCGCTTCTATACCCTTATAATTAAATAAAATTGATTTTCTCGAACACGGAACGGAACTCTTTACACATACATATCATCTCACTGTTCCTCTCCTCTATCATTCCCTTTCCTCTCTCCTCATCTCTCTCTCTCTCTCTCTCTCTCTCTCTCTCTCTCTCTATCTCTCTTTCTCTCTCTCTATCCCTCTCTATTTCTACCTCTCTTTCTCTCTCTCTGTTTATGTTTTTCATCTGTTACCTTCCTACCTCTCTGAAAGGTAGTCATTCGAGCGTTTCCATGTTCTATCGTCACTGTTTGTATTATCTGTAGGCGTGGAAATATATTAATCCTGTTCCGTTATCGAAAGTGCACAACCAGTAATCATTTTAGTTCATTTGGCTAGAATCGAGTCGTTTAGTTCAGTCACGGAGAGCACAGAAGTAAATTATCCATCAAGAATAGGTGAGTAACAGTGTCTGACATTTCTTTAAAACATTTGCAAATAAAATAATGCGTAAACAATCTAAGGGACTGTCGAGAAATCAACTTTAGGGTGAATTGTACAATTGTACACCATATGTCAACATAACTAATATTTAAGTGATATTAGGTGATATGTATTTATACAGTTCGCAGATTTCAAAGCTATTGAAATTTTCTACAGGTTAATTTTTTCAATTTTTTTGTGATCGTGTTTCATAGAAAATTGTCAATTACGTCTGGATTTCATATTTTTGCTCTTTAGTTGTTGTTATAGTCATTAATAACTCGATCATTCTAATGTTGAGATGTCGATCAAATAACTGCACGAATCTTGATACTATTGAACTGGTTTATCCTTTGTCGGAGCGCGTATGTCTTGATGTTAAGAGTGAAGACTTTTTTTAAGTTACTTTGCAAAACCCAATTAAATACATATCGGTTTTCAAAGCTCTTTACTGTTTTTCATCCTTCTAGGAAGATACCCCTAATATTTTGAAGATTTCAAAACATCTCAAGAAACACTGGAAAGGTCTTTGGACATCACTTTGAAAAGAAGATGTCTGAGGTAGCAATGGACGCCGATTGGCAGAACATCTCAAGGAATGATGCGTGGGTGTGGGCACCTGTTTCGTGGGAGTGGTGGGTGATCGTCCAGTTGGTCCTAGCCATCGTCGGAATCCTAGGAAACTTACTGGTGATGCTCGTGATCTTTTGGCCAGGACGTCGACGCTGTGCCACCGACATCTTGATCGGTGCTTTAGCCATGGCCGATTTCTTGACATCCATCTTCATCATACCACATCGTCAAGTCATCCAACTTCCGGACACCGTTGGAGGCGAACTCTACTGTCGGATTATCCATACATCTGTCTTGATGTGGATATCCATTTGCGCATCCATCTTCACCCTGACAACCATATCGATCGAGAGGTTGATGGCTGTCCGATTTCCAATCTGGTTCCAACGTCTGTTCTCTCCAAAGCGCACCTCAATCGCAGTCATTGTCATATGGATCGCAGCCTTTATCATCAACATTGGAAGTCTCTACGCCCACTTCGTAACAGAAGACAGGCAGTGCGTACTCTCCTTGCCTGTGGCCTTTCACCGATTCCTTGGTGTTTGCTTATTCATTCTTGAGTATGTCCTTCCTGTCGTCATCATGGTGACATCGCACGCTTGGACCATCTACAGCCTTCGTCAACGTCAAGCTTCGGCACTCCGTCAGGTTCAGAGTCGTGTCCTCCAAACGCTCCTCATCGTCGTCATCACTTTCATCATCTGTTGGACACCTGATCAGTTTGGTTTCCTCGTCTTCAACCTTGGCGTCGTCCCGTTCACACACCTCTTTAGTCCTCTGTACCGAGGTTTTGTCATCCTTGCATTCGCCAACTCCTGTGTGAACCCTTTCATCTACGCTGCCAGGATGCCTAGATTTAGAAAAGCTCTCAAGGATCTGTTCTGGATAAAGGGAACCCCACGCGGTGATGGAATCCCATCGGTATTCGCCGTTGACGGGGAGGGCAAATCTGATGAGTCGAAAAGCAAAACCACCGAAACATCACTATCGTAAAAGACTGGTACTGTATGCAGTGGTTTGAGATACCACAATACTAGAGACAAGATCAGTTTTCTTCTAGATCGCCCTTTCCAACTATAGTTGTTCAATCTAAAAATAATAAATAAGGTTTATACGACTCGGTACGTTTTATATTTAAGCATTCTTTTTTTAAATCAACAAATTCTTGATTTTTGTGATTCTTATAAACGCGGTTTTGATAATACCGATTCTTTTACCCTACGCCAATATCAAATCAGGAAAATAAATAAAACAAATATTGCCTTTTTTGCTCAGCTATTTCATGGATAGTAATACATTTCAAAGTTTTACAAGATGTCTATAGAGAGCTTACAATCTTAGGCTTTTTTTCCTCTTTCTTTTCTTTCTAAATTTGTATTCGATTGTTGAAAAAACATGTAAACTTTAAACATGTTATACTTGCTAGTTTATTGTGTTCAGAGATTTTTGCTAATTGTATTTTTATCGTATAGGCTTAAGATTAAGAACTTAATACTCCTCTTGAGTTTGGTTTGTATGTGCAACATCCATAATCAATCATCTGCAGGCTTCCAAACTCGAAGTTTCGTATTCTACTAATTCAGTCAAACCCGACCCTGTGTGTAAGATCATGTTTAACGAAAGAAGACTAACTTCGTTTTTGAAACCGATTTTGAACAAAGGCTAAAGCCCAGTTTCGGTTTTATACTTTCGTAGAATACAAACCTTAATGTAATGCAGGGTATTACTAAAAGTTCATTTCCCCTGACAAAGTTCAGGGTCTGTCATTTTTTTTATCAAGCTTAATTCTGCAAAAAAAATACTTTGAATCATTAACTTTGATGTTTATTCAGAATAAGTTTAAATTTACTTCCTTATTGATTGTTGTGTGGTTTTCGTGGTTCTGAAACAGATAGTCATAACCTAGATACGTCTTTTAATGAATAGGCTCATTCAGGCCTAACAAATAGAAACTTCCCTCTACTACAAACTAGCCTGAAGTTTACGGTAAACAAGAAAAAATTGTATTTGATGTGATGAATAGGATTTTTGTATAAACTATTGTATGCATCGGGTGACTCGCACTCTGTATTGTGTTTGATCTCATTGTTTAATTTGCTGCAAAATCATAATCTAACACTGAATATGAAATATGAGAGAGAAACAAAAGGAGTCAATAATAGATGTTGACTTCTTGCTTTTTGACAGTTCTGATCTGAACGATTCTTAAGCTAAGTTTCACAACTTTCTTGATTTTTTATTCAGAGTTTATTTGATTGTATACCATTTACATTTAAAAGTAAAAAATTAACAAATATTCTGGTAGCAGCGTTACCAGTTGTCTCAGACAAGTTAAATAGTTAATAAGTTAACAAAGACCATTACTAACAAATACGCATAATTTTAATGCTGTATAAAAAATTAAAACAAAATATAAATACGACACACTATCGACTCTCATTCACTTATATCAGGATATAATACTTTTGTGTGATAAAGTAAACTTGTTTTCTAAGATACAAACTCAATTATATCTATCAACCCTCTAATTTGTTTCCCTAGCAAAATAGCAAAATAAATTTAGAGTACAATTTAGATCAGTAGCATTACAAAAAATTGCATTCATAAAAAATTACTTATCTATTTCCAATGGTGATAAAAGCATAAAAACTTTTATCTATTTTATCCTAATGTATATTTCGTATGAGCAATAGAGTTTGAGTGACATGAATAATGGAAATTTTCAACAACTATCATGTTTCTTCAAATGCTTTACTGCTCTTTGAATCTCTTCATAAAATTGGAATTCCTATGAAGAACGCTCACATACCATGCTTAAAAGGCATAAAATACACAATACAAAATATAAAATACACAATATAAAATACACAATATGAATACAACAGATATGCCACGATTCACATGGTTGACATTTACCACAGGTATTCATGCGCATAATCTACCCCAAAATATTATTATCTTTCAAAATAGAAGTATAGAAGAATAGTACAAAAATATACAATATTTTTTTCTTCAAAAATGATTGATTGAAAAAAGTAGCACGTAAAATGATTGCATAGGAATTAGCACACATGTGAAAGAACTGTAATGGAAATTCATTTAAAGAAAGTAAAAACAATCAAGAATATTCTTCAAACATTATTTGGGACTTATTCTAGAGAAAATGTTTTTTTTCATACATGGAAATTGGGGCGGCAATACCGATCACCATATGTACAACCACATTACAAATAATAAAACAAAATGATATATTGACAATCGACAGCACATGAGATACGAATAATAATTCAAGAGCAGTCACAGAACATGTAACATTTTATATACAGGTGGTGAAATGATCCAAAATTGATCCCAAAGGCTGTTGGCAGCAGAATTTTACAAGTAACACAACAAAGAGTGAAATAAACCATAGAAAATGAAAAGTAAAATAACAATTCATTTGATATATTTTTTCCATGTGCATTTGGTAGAGGAACGACAAATAAAATCATGCACAGTTTCAATAACTATTCTCATTGAAAGCTTCATATATATTATACGAGACTGGAGGTCAAATGAATTATGTCCTATCCATTACCAACAGCATGAGATGTTTTAGCATACCTGATGATCGTAACAGGTTGAAAGTTCAACTAGAGGTTGGGCCAGACCAAATATAGAAAATGATACTTCTTTTTTTTAGCATCAATAATGTTCAGTATTTTACGATACTTGGTGACATAAGGGACACAACTGGATGAAACACCTTGAACTTACGGTTACTTACCCATATATGTTGTAAACTGTATATCGTATACTGTACATATACGGCTCTACACAATGAGCTATCAAAGATAAGGAAATCACTGTTATTTTGCTCTGGTTCGTAATGTTATGAACCAGAGCAAAATAACAGTGATTTCCTATCAAACTCTATTTATTCTGATGGTCATATCTCAGCCAATATAAAACATATTCAATTGGTTTTCGACATTCGGACATTATTTTTGATGCTTTTTCGGAAAACAAAGTTCAAATTTGGACACTCTAAGAAACAGTTTTTTGATGACGTCACACTTGACCATTCTATGGCTGAGTGATAGAGCAGTGGTCTCCTAAGTGGGAAATCCTTGATTGGCCATTTAGTCAATGTGTTAGTGCCCTTTGGTAAGGCATTACTCATCAGCAACAAGTCCCTCGGATTGGAGAGAAAGCAATAAGTCCCTCTGGTTGGTTGCTAACTTACATGTACGCACTTGCACGCATGCTTTCTTAAGTAGTAGTAGTAGTGGTGGTTATTTTACCTGACTGATAAGAAAGCATAAATGCTTGTTAGTAAGCAACCAGAGGACCGACTGCTTTAGGTCCTCTCCGAAACACCTGGTAATGAGGATTAATGCCTTACTAAATGGCACTAGCGCATCCCCTTGTTGTCGAACCCGGGTCACCAGATTACGAGGCCACTGCTTTACCAACTGAGCAGTCGGGTACAATGGAACCACCAAAGTTCCAACATATCTATTCTTTGGAATATGAGATTCAGTAATGGCCTGGCTGCAGGTGCTTGCTCATCTCAATCACAGGAATATCATCATCTTCAAGCCCTTCACCCTGACTGTCTGAGCTATAGCCTTGGTTCACATGTCCAACGTCCTGGAGCCGACTCCGCCCCTTCCCTTTACCCCTCGACTTGGTCTTCCTCAGTCTGGAAGATTGGGCTTTGCCCGCCTCGTGCCCCTTTCTCCTCTTACGGGACCTGCTGGAGGTGGGGTGGCTGCTCTGCTTCCCGTTGTCACTGCTGTCTGAGACCACAAGGTGCTCAAGGCTGTTTGGGAGAGGGAAACTCTCCATGCTGACTGTGAGGTTTGGGTGGTGACCAATGGGGTAATGGTCTTTGGGATCGGAGTTCATAGGGTAGTCGGATACCAGCTCATCAATACTTGGTCTACCATCCCCACCCCTCCTCTTGTTCTTATCACCCCCACTACTCATAGAGGAGTTCAAATTGGCATTCCCAACTTCGTGCGATGCCTGGGAGTCTTGAGAATTCGTCCGTGATGGAGCTGGCGGAAATACTTGTTTTTCGTTGGCCGTGTGGGAGCTGCAACCGCTTCTCTCACTTGACTGGCTCTCCCCAAGATCCTCACCCTCCCACCCATGCTTCGTAAATGGAGTCACTTTCCAATTCCTGCCCCTCCTCTGAGTCCCATCTATCACTCCTGAATGTCTGCTCCCGTAGGAGCTAGTGTCTGCATGTGAGCTATCGCTACCCATGTAACCGCCCAAGCCATCGCTACTCTGGCGACGGGAGTAGGCCGATGATGATGACGATGCGTTCGATGTGTTAGAGTCCTTATGCTGAATACTCCCCGGCTTGGGCGGTCTTTGGGTCCCGTCTCCATCTTCAGATAGGCGGGCGGTGTCTCTGATCGGGAAGACAGCGGTAGTATGTGGCCTTGGAAGCCTCTTCAGGAGATTCTTTTTGGATGGGCGCTTGCTTGGTGATGTCTCAAGAGGACGCTCTTCCTCTATGGGTTCATCCATCGGCTGGTTGGTGGAATCATCTCCCCAAGCCTGTACAGTGCCCCCATTCCTCTGCACTTCATTAGCTCTCCTTTCTTCCAGAGTTCCTGTGAAATGATCAATACACATAATCGAAATCATAAAATTATATTTCCAAGGCTTGTAGAATTTTTAGTAATATAGTATCATGTTGAAGATACAAACTCCTCGATTAAAGGTACAGAAAATGTTGCAGAGATCTATCGTCCGTTCTGAGAAACAAGGACTGGAAGTTTTAGTACACTGCCCTTGTGGCTCCAAACAGATGTTTTATCATCAATCTATAGAAGTTACCTCAACTTCTATGAATGGTAACAAATTTGAAATCACAAGTCGTTGTCATTTTTCTTTAATTATACATATTTATTTTGATAATTTTGTTATACCGGTATTCACAATGAGTCGTTAATAACAACATTGTAGTTTACTCATAACTATCCAGACATGCAAAATCAAGGCATTCACTCCACAATCCTAGATTCCTCATGGGCTGAGGGAAGGCAACCTGTCCATCATCCTTTCGATAGGCCGTGGCTGGTCGACCCGTGTCAGCCTCATTCAGGTCGGTACAAGAGAGGGCGCTATCCTCTCCGATGTCGTATGAAGCCAGGGATCCTTAGGCTGTTATCTGCCCACTGTCCCTATCAGGACCATCGATCCCTGGCCCGTCACTCTCCAGCCCATCTTGCTGTCGG